TTCATAAACAGCTATTTGGTAATTTTAAATGAAAATAACATTGTCAAAAGTTTTTTTTTAACCAGTTTTAATTATTGAAAACACAAATTATAATACGCTTTTTATATGGCTTCTTACCGTAAAAATTACTCAAAAAACAAAAATTAAAAAAAAATTATGATTATAGGAAATATTTCAATCGAAAAAACTCTAGGTCACTTTATATATGTCGTCTCAATAATGATAATCAAAAGGTAAGCTTTACGAAGACATTTTTTGGTTTACTTGCATTTATGGCTTAAGAAGAAGTGATACTCAAAAGTGTGCTCCTGGTTTAACGATCCATAAATTGAAAACGATATATACAAAGTACGGGTGTTAGATACATGATATATATCATACAAGTATATATGTGATGCGCGATCGTAATCGTAAATCTATAAATAAAATATGCAATCATTTATTTACGATTTTTTAGCTGTTATACCATGTTATACAAGATAAAATCACTCAGTGTAAATTCCTAGTAATTGCTCTTTTTTTCAGTACTAAAGTAGATAACATTATGTAGTGTTTAATTTTTTTTTAATAGTTGTTATAATTTTAACTCTCTGCTAGAATAATAACTAATAAAAAATATTGAAGATGAATACATTATATAATAATATAATAGCCTAAAGTTGAATTATCTAAATATATTTTATAATAGGTATGTGGGTGTATATGTAAATGTATTTAATTTATCTGTAAAATTACTTGGAAATAATGCAATAAAAATTAATCTTAATTATGGCATCTAATAAAGTATAATAATGGCGATATTAGAAAATGATGCAATTTAAATGATGTGTATAATTACAACATGTTAATGGCTAAATTATCCAGTTTAGCTTGGGAGGTATTGTAATATTTTAGATTAGAGCAATTACTATTTCAATATTTTTTTGAAGAAAAGTATACAATCGTCGTGTATTCTAATATTTATTTTCATTTATGTATACTACGTTCGTTTACATATTCATCAAATGGCAACTATTGAAATCAACGTATTAAGCAAAGTAAAATATTGTCTAGGTAACTAAAAAGCGAAAAAAGTGTATACATCCAGTCCAAAGCCCAAAACTGTTTCATACATTACAATTTAGGCACATAGATTCAGAACAACCTAACCCACAAAAGTGTAATTATGCAGGACGGGCATTTCAAGTTTTGACTATTTTTAATTTATTTTTCTTATTAAATCCACTCTAAGGAAAATATTAATAACATTTTAGTATGAATAATTCCTTATCTTTTAAATATCTATAAAACACTAGTCAATAATATTGAATAAATATTATTAAATATTATTATTAAATTAAAATTAAAAGTTTTAGTGTGGGTTAGGTCAACTTATTACAAATATTTTATTCACACAACATGAAAATACTATGTAAATAATTGTATTAGTTTGTTTGTAACCCTTTAAAATATTATTGTAATTAATTTTCAGTACAGAATGATTATTAACAAAGAGATTGTTGAAGAAAAAATGGCCTAATCCACTAGCATAGGGTTGGGCCACTTTGGTTCTAAAATTATATATCATATACACAAAGCCAAATACAATTGTGCTTATATCTAGTAAATACATTTTTTTGTGGGATAGGCCATTGTGGATTTCAAATATCATATAAATGGTTTTTTTTTTTTTTTAATCTAGAGAACTGTACAATCTGTAAAGTATGGTTTACAATAAGCACAAGTGAAGAGAGAATTAATACAGAAAAGACAAAATAATGCATAATGTAACAAAAATTAAGTCAAGTTACATCACAATTATTTACATCAGTTCAGGCCGGGGAGACTTGGATGAAGAGGCTATCCATTGATGGACCTTCTTGACATGTGATGGTGGGGTTAGTCTAAAAGTAGATCACGACACCATATTCGTTTTAGGTGCCGTTTGGGGTCACCAGGAATGGTGGGGACAGATAGATCCGAAATTTAGGCTTTGCGATGATTATGGAAATTGGAGTGCATATGTTTGTAGAAAGTCTTGGCTACATTTCTTACTGTTTGGATGGATAGATCTTTGTGGAGTGTATCGTTAGAGACATAGAATGGAGCTTTAGTTATTTGTCGTAAGCATTTGGATTGAAAGGATTAGATTTTAGTAATATTTGAGGTTTTGGTAGCCCCCCATAATTGGATGACATAAGTCCATATTGGTTTGAGAAGTAATTTGTATAAAATAAGTTTATTCTTGAGGTTTATGTGTTTAGATGTCAAAAGAAAACGCAATTGACGGGACCGATTATTAATTTAGAGCAAGCCGTTTGGTGTGAATATGCGTAGCCCAGGTTAGCCGGTGATCTAGATAAAAGCCTAAGTAGCAAACGGTTTGATCAGATTGAAGAGGAAGGTGATTAAGATACACAGGAAGACAGACAGCTAGTCGGACTCTAAAGAAGTGTGATATGCTGTGGTAACTATTACCCGTGGTTATAAGAGACAAAGTTAATTTCAGTTTTATTAGTATTAATGACAAGTACTACGCATCGTGTAAACCCGGCATAATAGTAATGACTAATGACGAAAGATAACATTCGGCAACAAAAGTATACACAATACACGTGTTGACTGGAATTCCAAGACACGACCATTATTAGACATTCTTAGACTTATTCAATTAATAGTTTAATACTGACAATACTATTTCTGTCAAATTTTCCTACGATTTTTAGAAATAATAAATCATGTTTCCAATTTTAACTGACGCTCATATAGTGTATTTTCAATATACAATAGTAACAAAAAATAACTAAATTGGTAAAAAAATGTATTCTAATAATATTAGATCATATTATGATGAATCATTGACGAGTAGGTACCTATATATGTAATTATTATGATTATGATTTTTTTTTATAATAAAATAATTTCATAGATACAATGATTTTTGTATAGATACTTCTCTCATATTTCTCTATGGTTAATCATAAAGCCCTTTAGAATGCGAGGCCGTGGGCAATGGCCCACTCCGCCCACGACTAGCGCCGCCACTGCGTGCACTAATGTCACGGACGTAAAACGTACATAGATGTATGTGTGTAGTAGAATTATTGGGTTTGTCGTGTTACGTATTTATAACGCATGTGGTCATATTTATTTTCAGTATTTATTGCTGGAATACTAAAAGTTAAAATCAAGTCACGTTATTTTTTTCTTAATTTTAAATAATTGACTTCGTTCTCGCCAAAAACCTTAGAATCAAAATAATCTAAGCAGAAATGGTAGTTTTCTACGCTTCTATTCTAGATTAGAAAATCAAGATAATCCACCAATAAAAGGCTTACATATCCCTTCACTTCCTAGAATCCTCGCCACAAGATTAAATGGGTATGAAGCAGGGATCTCTCTTGATTAATTCTATATTCTAAATTCTAAACTAAGTGTCATAAAAGGGTATATCCTTAAGAAGACTCCACACCCGCATATAATGTCTCCATCTGTCATACGTACAACATGTAAATTTACGTTCAGTACATAGGCGCAACTAGTGGGGAGGTGCTTGGAGGGGCTTAGCCTCCCGGACCAATATTTAGCCACCCATAAATATTCCATGTTATACATGGTATACCGCATACAGCATACTTAAATCACAATAGTGCCACATAAAAAAAAAGACACATTGCAGTAAATCCAACTTGGCTCAGAATCTAAAATATATTAACATGGTATATAAGAGAAAGGGTAATCTACAGATTATTTTAAGTTTTGGTAGGAGGGCTGTAGCCTTCTCCCAGATTTTTTACCCTAACTGCACCTATGGTTCAGTAGTTCAAATGTAGTGAAGTTAGCTTTAATATTAGAGTAAATTGACCTATTATCAGACTTTAAGAGAAGAATATTATTTGTGTTTTGTTTTTTTCCGATATTTTAATTTTTTAGCGAATTATAATGTTTTTATAATTGTTAAATTTTACATACTCATAACACGCTAAAAAATTAAAATATCGGAAAAAACCTACCAACAAAACACAGATAATGTTCTTCCCTTAAGGTTTGACTATAGGTCAGTTTACTTTAATATTAAAGCTAACATCACTACATTTGAATCACAGAACGCAAATTTACCATGTTATACGTATATCAGGCGGAGACAACATAAGCGAGTATGACGTCTTCTTAATCACGTAATATCAATTTGTTTATAGTTTTTACTTCACATACACTGATTATCCTCAGTTGTATAGATTGCATATTACTTTTAAATAAAGCGATTTAACTTAAGTATAACATAGTTCTAAAAAAATAAACATAGCCACTACAAAAGGATGATGAAAGAAAGTTGGTAGTCATGGACATAAGTGTTGTAAAGATGATTTATGATTCAACGAAGAAGAGAAATAGAAATGAGTGGAGAATAAATATGAACAAATAGAGTGAGCTGGAATTACTTTCCCATAGGCCGAATATACTTAAGATAATAAAAATAAAAGACTAAAGTGGGCTGGACATGTTTGTCGTAACTAAAATCTTTTACTACGCATAGTATCACAAAAAGATCCAGTAAGGAGAAAGCCACTGGGTAAACCTCATATGAGATGGGAAGATCTGATAAAAAATAAGTGTAAGTGTCTTAGTTGAAGGATCAGATTGGAAGGTTGGAACATCCAACAGAGATGGCTAGAGGGATAGGTGTTTGATGGGACAATCCTAGTGAATATAAACCCAAAAAAGCAGAAACATAACATGTTTCTGTTTGATACCTCATAACTTTGATTAGTTTTGTAAAAATATTGAATTTGGTCCAATGCTAATTTTTAACAAATAAAATAATTATTTTTAAATGTAGCATTTAAATAATAATTAATCAAATAAATATTATGGAGAAAAATCCATGTCACAATATTTGGTCTAGTAATTGTATTAAATGATCAAAAGTCAACTTGATATTTTAAAAATCAAATACATATTATGGTAGTGAGTGATAACAATATTACTAGATAAATTTGTTGGTAAATCAAACAATAAAATTAAAATTAAAAAAACACTATTTATTTAACAAAATTACAACGTAACAAAATAAAATATCACCAAGACAGAATATTATCAACACCACTGGACTTAAATTCTTTCTCGCAAAATATTGATTAACATACTACGAAACAAAGAACAGACTAGATTTTATTATTATGAAATTACAATGGCATAATTCTGTCTACACATTAATAGTTATTTATTTTATCATTAAAAAGCACCATTGATTATTCTGTCTTTTTTAGGATATCATTTTCTGGTCTGTTTAATGATAACAGAACTTGACAATGAAGTATGCAACTGAGTGAATCTTTTTCAATTTTTGAAGAGATCTTTATCCAATTTTCTAAGTATAAAACAAGTGTTTCTCTTGAAGATGAAAAAGGATTCAAACCTCTAAATAAACAGGCCTGAAATTAAAATAATACATATAATCAATGTAAATACAAAAAATGCTTAACAGATCTATAACTATTATAAACCTACTGTTTCTTATTTAAAAATTACAATAGAAACATTTTTCATATTTAAATATTCTATCAGATTTTTTAATTATTTTATGTATTTGCATGTACAACATGATTGACATAATAAGTATTTAAATGTAAATTAATACTCGTACATAAATACTAATAAAATAAATAGTAAATATTTAGAATGTGGTCTTCAAAAACTTTGCTAAATAAGAAAATAGCTAAAACAATAGGTGCACAAGTTCATTTTAACCTTTAAGTTATATTATTTATATTCAAAATACTATTTTTGTTAATGGACTCTAGAAAAAGCAAGGTATTAATTTTTATTTATTTTTTCTTTCCATAAATAATACCAAGTGTAATATAGTATTTCATCAAATCAAAATTAGGACTGTGAATTATTAAGACAGAAAATTTTTTGATTCTCAAAATAGACATAGCAAAATTAATATTTAAGGAATAATTAAAAAATGTAATTTAACTTTTTTTATATATTTAACTATTTTAGTATTTGTTATTTGCAAAAAAAAAAAAAAAAATGAAATGCTAACATTAATTTTAATATTTATTAATATATACATTAAATTATTTAAATACTATAATGAAAGTATAACAAACAACAAACCCATTTTAATTGCCTATCATTTAATTTATCCGGTCCTCCTTCAGAAATTATTGCCTTATCCATTAATTGAATATATTGAGCTAATTTCTTTAACCTAACTCTTCTTCTCCAGCCACGATGGAGATTATACATTTTTAATAGTACAGTCTAAAATAAATATAAAAATAATAATTAGTTTATTTAAAATATTAATTAAAAACTTAAAATGAAAAAACTTACAATATGTTGTCTAGGTAAAGTACTAAAATGATAAGGAAACATTGTAAAAACTGGTATAGCTTGTATAATATCATCTACAGGTGAAACACCTCCAGCTCCCAAACATTCAATCACACGGAACCATTTCAAAAGCATTTCATCTGAACATTCTTCAGCCATTAGACTCAAATGCCTTAAATTAAATCATAAATTAACAATCAAATCCATTTTAAAATTGCTTAAAATAATGTTAAGTATAGCAAAAACAAAAATAATATATACTTATAATAATGTAAATTTATAAATGCAATTCCATCAATAATTATTAGTGTTTGGAATTCAATTTACTTATCATGTCAACAAATGTAATTCAATAAACTTACTCAAAAACTCGAATATTATGTTCAAATTTTTTTTGTTGGTCTTTTATCCAATACTCTTTAAGTTGCTCATCTGTCCAAAAATGTTCAGACAACAAATACCTCGGAAACATAAATCTGAAATAAAATAAAATATTATTATGTTTTACAAAATTAAGTTATAAAGAATATGACAATAATTAAAATCCATTTAACTGAAAATAGCAGTTAAATTAAGATAAAATATACTTTTTCAACTATATATTACTATACACATAATATATATAATAAGTAGGACTCGGATATTTATGAAATTACATATATTTTCTATTGATCCAATTTAATGCGAACCTGGGTACAAATTTAATTTATGTTCTACTGATATAAATAATACGATTTTAACTTTGCATATTTTTGGTATTTTTAAGGAACTAAATGTTTATTTCAGTACATTTTCAAACTTTTTTTGAAAACAAAATAATGTGATAAATGATAAATTGTTGACCCGTATAGTTGTTTATCCCAAATATTTATAAATTCAAGTTTGTTCAAATTAAAAAAAACACAGAGTAACACTCATATTGTTAATTAATTTATAAATTACAAATATAAAAATAACAATTGTTAAAAATTAAATACTTATAAATTTTTAATTTTTAATGGTATAAGTAAAATAAATTTTATTTTGCACAACTAAGTGTTTTCTTTTTAGCTAAAATGCATATTTTATGATATTTGTACTTATTTTGAATGTATAAATGCATATACAGTGTGTTCAATGATAAAGGTAACTCAAAATATTTCCACAAGACTTTGTATGTGATTCGGGTTTTTTGTAATACATAAAGGACGTAAAATTACATTTATTTTTGATAAATCTTAATTTTTTAAAAAAAAATTCTGTGCATGAGCAACAAAATAATTTTTTTTTTTTAATGGCAACCCCCATTTTTAAGTTCAAATTTGAATTATTCGAATTTTTTCAAGCAACTTTGACCTTTAAAAATTTGCTCTATCTTCAAAATTGACTGACTGAGAATGAGTTAAATTTTCGATTTATAATATTTGTATTTATCGTATTTTTCAATAGTCTACTTAGAGTTTTACAAATGTATAAGTGATTTCGTATGCATTTTTCTTAAAAATTAAGTGTACTATTATAGGTACAAGTAATTTACATTACTAATTTGTTTGTTAATGTTTTAGTTTTAATTAACCAAAATTATACCATTTACAAGAAATTTGAGTAAAAAATTTCTGTAGAAATAATGTAAATGACTTGTACTTATGACAGTATAGTTAATTTTTAAGAAAATGCATACGAAATCACTTATACATTTGTAAAACTCTAAAGTAGACTATTGAAAAATACGATAAATACAAATGTTATAAAATGAAAATTTAATGCATTCTCAATCAGTCAATTTTGAAGATAGAATAAAACTTTAAAAGTCAATGTTTGAAAAAAATCACATAATTCAAATTTGAACTCAAAAATGGGGGGGGGGGGGGGTGTCGTTTAAAAACAAATTATTTTGTTGCTCATGCACAGAATTTTTTTTTAAAAAATTAAGATTTATCAAAAATAAATGTAATTTTATGTCCTTTATGCATTACAAAAAACCCGAATTGCATACAAGGTCATGCATTCGAAATATTTCGTGTTACCTTTATCGTTGAACACACTGTATACTATAGTAATTTTGTTATAAATAAACTAAGTGTATAAAGATCTGAGCCCTAAAATAATAATATTATAAATACATACTTTGACTTACGCTAATGGAAACAAAAACAAATTAGTAAATGGTATAGGCCAAAAAATAAGGATTGGTGTCAAACGAACTAGTTGTAATGGTAGTCTATATTTTAACTCCAATTCAGCATAAGTCAATGATGATAAACCAGAAGAGTAATACTTTTTATAAGCAGACAACAACACTAGAACATCTTTGTATAGATACTGAAATTAATAATTATTTTTTAATTAAAGTTTTATTTTAGATTTTAATTATAAATATTTACTTTACACCCAAAAATACTCAGTCTTGCATATTTTGCAGTTGATGGTGACCAATTTTCAATTTTATTTACAAGTCGCATGGCAAATGTATTATCATTTAATAACTTATGCTCATTTATATCTTCTTTGTCAAGTTTACTTTCTTGCTTAAGAACAGAGTTGTTCAACTGAGAATTTTTCTTTTGGGATATTTGGGATGATTGATTAGCATTATCAACACTTATATAAGGAGGAACCACTGAAGGTTTTGCATCTGTTTTTAATGGTTCTTTACTTGGAAACTGCAAAATAACTGAATTCCTATAAAATAAATCATAATACAATTTAAATATTTTAGTTAGACATGTAATATTTGCAGGTCACAAGTTTATTAGAACTTTGGTATTTTACTCATAAAATTGATAATTGTAATTAAAATCAATTCCCTAAAGAACATTCCCAATGATTTCTCTAAAAGACAAGAAACAAACAAATGTAATAATTATAACGTACAATTTATGGTAAAACACATCTTAATTAAATGTTTCAACCTTCAGAAAGAACATGACTTAAACCTGAAATCTACCCACCTCTTTAAGATCTTTAACCTAAGTTCAACAGCTATATCTAGTTAGTAAAATTATCAAATCTGCACCTCCAAATATAATTAATTAAATTATATTTAACCATATATAACTTAAATTATAAACCATTTAGTTTAATTGTTAACTCATGATCATAGATACCGTGGACATTTTTCGTATTAAATTATGGTGCATTTAAAGTAAAACTTAATATATTATGAATTATTTTATATCCAAATAAATACCATGACTACAAAAAACATTTGTTTTGTTAAACGAGGACTGTACAATTATTTTTCCCCAGTAAAAATCGAATATTTGAATAGTTTTCGATTATAACGATTAATTGAATAATTATTTTATAATCAGATAATTGAATAATTGTACAACCAAATAATCTAATAATCAGACAATCTTCAACAAACTAGGCTTTAATTTAACTGTAATAATACAATATTATTATTTAGAAATAGTATATTAGTAAACGATGCATGAATGATAATAATCTAAACCAAAATTATAATCAAGTTATACTAAATATGCCTATAACAAAAGTAAAAATAAAATATTTATATATTTTGTGTTGACATAAAAATAGTTAAATAGAATAAGTAAATGTGCAAATTATTGGACAATGGCCAAAACTAAGGAAATAAAACGCATAATAGAAATTAATTTAATATTTAATATTTATGGCAATATTAATAAAGTCAAAGTATAATATACATAGAAATATATTTGAAATTCGTGATATTATGTAAAGATTAAGAAAAAGAACCAAATGGGAAATAAAGCAAGTTTTGTGGAAAAAACAAAGAAAAGCCAAATAAAGTTTACTTCATTTGAATGACAACGATTCAAAACGTATTTTAATATAAATTATTTTTCTATCAAAATAAGTATTTGCTACAAAATCCGAGCCCTAACAATAACAAAGTACCACATATGAAAAAAAAAAAAAAAGCAGCTCAACAATTATTTGAAATAAACAAGTAATAATACAATTTGGCAAAGATTGATATTTCTCAAGAGTCATGTGTTGAGAGTTTTCAAAACAAACTCTTTGGACCCTGGTGGTAATAATTGCTAAATTTCGACTACAAGCTGATAAAAACGGATAAAAATACGTAACAAGCGGTCGATCAACGATAATATTGTAGGTCAAATATGATAATGTCTGAAACATGAGAGGCTATCGGGACAGACGGTGGTCAGATTGTGACGACAAAGGTTTGAAGCATACTTGAAGAATCTACTGTTTTGGTACGTATGGTTCTCGGCAGTCAGTAGTCTGCAATTGTTGGCTGCAAGGCACCGAGACGTTCTGACGATTAACTTCATCGCGTAGTCGTTAGTCGAGTTCGAAGATCGTCTTCAGGCAGGACCGGAACCGCGACCGGGTAGAGTCGCAAAACGCGACAACCGCGTAGTAACACCGTGCGTCGTTCAACCCGTGATCGCGTTCGTACACTTATACTACCCGATTGGATTTGAAATTTCACATATTTTCCGAATCGGGAGTTTATTTACTTATGTACTTTTTGGCGAAAACAAAACATACGGCCTGACAACATCACGTACTATCGAGACTGCTGATAACGCGACAGCTGATAATATATTTCGTCACCGAACCACAGAATAAATTTAATCTATTCTGTGACCGAACGTCGAGCCGTACGATACGTTCCGTGGCCGCTGCTACCGATTATGGCGCAATTTTTACGTTACAATCATCACCAACATTATGTTCTGAACCGCGGTCGTACCCGAATGATACCGCTTACCAACCGGGGTCAGAGATGAAAGCGGACGTCGCTCGCCCGGCACGTGACGTCAGAGCGGAATGCGACCGCGCATGTTCGACCACCGCCGTTTTGCACGAGAAAATTTTTAAAAACACCCACATCAAGTCAATCGTTACAGATTTGTTCTTGCGACCTTTTCACTCGGATCTGAAGAACGTTCGGCCACTAAGGCACACAATCAGTGGCGTATCCAGGATTCATTTAACGGGTTGTTTTAAAATTTAGTAGAACTATACTAAGTGGGGGGCTCTGCCCACTCACTGTATTACATTTAATAAATACTGTGTAATTGTATAAATTATTATATCAACGCATTATATGTAAAATCTACAAGTTGTATACAACGTTTATTCAAATTATACTGTAAGTTTGCAATTTGGTAAAATACCATAAAATACGGTCGATGGGGGATGTTCTAACACCCATATCACCCCCCTAAATACGCCCCTTCACACAATGCCTGTGATTTAATATCACAGCCGATTGCTCTGCTTTAGAACGTGCAGTCATGTAACGGACTACGTATGTTCGACGTCGTCTGAAGTTCGAAACTCCGAAGTGCCATCGTTGAGCCGTTCCCGATCGCAGCCGCCGATAGGTCGTCCGTTGATTTTGACCGTTCCTGATTGCAGCTGCATCCGTCGACCGGCCGTTGGATCGGAAGTGTAAATTAATATTTAATAGATTAATAAAAATGTTAAATAATATAATAATATAATAATAATAAATTAATATTTAACATTAATATTTTCTAAATGGATGGCCAACAATATTCTTGAAATAAAATTTGATAACAATAATGGCGCTAAAAGCAGCGTCTCTAGAGAGACTATCAATCGCGGACTGTTCTCGTTGTTGATATAATAACAGCGAAATAACAAAAAAATATTAAATCAAGATTTATTTTTACGTGATTCTTAATTCTTATTCTTCTGCTGGGCACACATTAAAATTAGTTGTATGCAACATGTTATTCGATGGAAACGATTGACGTTCGGTTAATTCGCGGTGCTAGTAAAAAAGGCGCTGACGGTCGGGAGAAGCACGTGCAGCTTTCGTCACGAAATATTTATCGTACGATCTCGTAGCACTCGTCGATCGACATATTATTTATAGGTATTCAATACTACCATAGTCTTGAACTAATGCAGAGTGCGAATTTTTATGATTGCGCATGTCGGATGATTTTAGTTTTGACAATTTATCCTATTCTATCATTTTTTTATACTTTTAGACCGTTTTCGCAAATATTATCAAAAAAATATACCTTGTTTTGCATAAATAAATGTTTACACTGATTTGGAACTACATATCGATGCATACTGATTATAATTAAATATTAATTGTATTAATTTAAATATCTATGTATACTTTATTTTATACTTATACATTTTTACTAATATATTACATACTTTTGTGTTTTGAAAAAACTGATTTTATGGACAGCGAATATTTACCAACAGTTTGTTTATATATTTACTGTTTAAAAATGTTAGACCAAAGCATTAAATTATTCTCAATTTATATGATAATTATTTTATTTTACTCTCATACGCAGACATAATTTAAGAAAAAAAAACTTGAATTGCCTCCCATAAATTTTTAAAAAATAAATTACATGAATTTCCTCTTATTCGAAAATTTCTCTTTAATTAAATCAATACAATTGATATTAACTATTGATATGTACAATACCGTTACCTTAACGCTAAAAACACTTTTCTGTAACTATGTTAATTTCAACAATAGCCAAAAAACTGAAAAATTGTTTAAAAAGTAAAATAAAATATTGCTAGCTTATAAAAATAACTAGTAGGTACCATGCTTTTTAATGTAATTACAATTTTTCATAAAAAAAAAAAAAAATAATAATAATGTTTTCATACTCAAAATAGTAGATATGTAGTATTTACAAAATATTATTTTCATTTATAGATATGTGTTTTCATTTATTCAGTATAATATAGCAAAAATAATTTATTAATACACTGTTATGTGTATTTTTTTTACATATTTTTCATATATCTTAATTTTTTGTAATCCATATTTCTAATCATCAACCCTTGGCCATACAGTATTATTTTGCATTTCTAAGGTTGAATATAATAAAATAATGTTCTTAGATATCAACCAGACTCCGATTAATATTTAGTATTATTTTACGAAGTATAAACGAATACGAAATCCCAGGAAATAGAAATAAACAATAGACTACACGTTCATAATTTATTCTATTGTGGCGTGATCACGCAATTCGTTGTTTCGCAATAGCAGCTGATTAACAGTTGGTTCAATAGAAAGTATGAAACAAGATTTTCGACATTAAGTTTCTGTCAGATGCGAATTTTTGGCTAACAACTAATAATGGGCGAATTTAATCCATATTTTTCATGCGATGAATCGATTTTTTGAATCGATCTCCATAGTCCGATCTATTAAAAAATTGATTCGTTTTTGTGAATATAGAACGTTAATCCTATCTTTTATGTGAATCAAATCGTTGTTGTTAGTTGATCCGATTATGTAATACAAATTAAAAGTTATTAGGTAGGTACACATTTTCAATTACTTTTCTTCTAGAGCACAGGCAAAACTGTAAATAATTCCATCAATTGATTAAAAAAAAAACCCGCATATTAAGTTAACCGATCTTTTTTTTATCGTTCTTTTCATTCCAATTTAAATCGTTTCAAAATATATATTCATTTCCAAGAATCGCTAATCACTACTAACAACCAAAGTAAAAGTTTAAAAATTTAATAGACTAGTCGGGTCACATACTCTAACAGACTAGCCAAACGAAATATTACATCATAAAAAACTTTTTTTGTATTTTAATGTAATGTTTAATCATAGGCGGACAGCTTATCGAGGAGGGAGAGGGTTAATCAACGACTTATTATTATCACATTTCAGCTTATAAATATTTTTAGTTGACAGTGCTCAATTTATCTTTTTTGCACAACGTTTTATAAAAATAGAAAAATTAAAATTAGATTAATTTTTATTATTAATCTGACACTATCGAGGGCTTATGATACAATTGGGCTTTTGCTTCCTCGTCCAGTCCGCCCTTGTGCTTAATTCTGAGATATAATGAGTAATCCGCAGGAATTGTGACATTTTAATTCATGGTCGTCCGTGATAAGCTACACCTATCTAATTATATAAAAATAATAGATAGAATATCATGATTTACATATCGATGTTTGAATTATTCATTTTTATTTACGGACCGTGTTAATACAACAACGGATCAGTCTTGTAATATAACTGCAATTATGATTATACAGTTCGATAGACGCACAACGAACTAAGAATATGATAAATTTGTGGATAAACCCTCGTCGTACATCCGACAACGTTTGGACGATAACAGTTTCGAATCGACGTCGATTGCCGGCGCGCTATCAATGATGCCGGTGCACTCGCGTTGTGATGGTACCGACATCTGCGGAGCAACACACTTGGTTACGACTGTAACGCTCGCGGTGGTGGTAGTACCAGTAATCGTAGTTGGTTATCGTCACGCCATCCCTTATCTGATACGAGTGTTCACTTCGATTCTTTGTCCCGGCACCGCTAGACGAAACCGCGTTTCAACCGCGGAATCCGTAAAACCCTTTCGAATCACTCGACAACTGTGCACGCGCAACAGCAGCCCGCCAGACAACCGTTCTTCCGTCCGCAACACGTGTGAGTACAACGAATACATAAATTGTTTTTGTTTTAACTATTAATCGTGCGTACTCGTCTCCGACCCCCGGACACGCATTCGGTACGTACACGCAACTCATGAGCAGTACACCGGCCCTGGGCGATAAAAATGAAAATAGCCCGTAGTATTTTAAGCGCTAAAATATTACGGCGTGCATCGCATTCAGTCCGTGATGTGACCCCCGATAGCGCAACTGTTCTTTTTACTGTTTCACATTTTTGTTCACTTTACCTCGTGTACGCGTGCCGTTTGTACGACCTAACTTAGTATCTGTCCGCGCGATGCACGAAAATTTTGTTTCATGATCTGTTCGAACGCAAACGAAACTGCTCGCGTTACCTTCGTTGTTCTTTGCTGGAAAACGAGCAATATTGTGCAACAGTGTTCTCAGCGTTTTTATTAGCTCTCTAAAACAGTAATCATAAGAAAAAAGTATTATTATGAACATGTTAATGATAATATTAAGTAACATAGGGTCGCATTAATTATAATTATTAACAGTTGACTTGCGCTTAAATATGGTTCACCATCATATTCACTTTATTTGTAATTATGTCTGTCTAAATCTGGTATAGTATATTTTAATTATTATTTAAGTTTATAACCTGAAAGTAGATTAATCAGTACCTGTGTAAGTATTTTATTCTATAGACCTAAAAATATTTAAACGTAAAAAATACAATTCTATAAATATCACTTTATTGTAATTTTAAATGAAACAAAACCAATAGAAAATTATTGATCAATAATTGTAAAAAAAAATATTTGTTTATGTAATATTATACATTTTATTTTATATTTAATCTCCACATTTTATTTAACTATTTAATAATCCGGATTTAAAATGATCTATCTTAATAGTATTATTTTATAATCAAACTTAATAAATAAATAATACGAGTAATATTAAATCTAATTGGTTTTGTAATTTATTTGGCTTATCTACTATATTCTTAGATTTATGAACATTGAATGCGCTATCTACAATTAGTCTATATTAAAAATTATTTTATAGGTTGAAAATGATGTAAATATATGTATAATAAGCAAATACAGTACTTTTATTTTTATTTCAAAAAAACAATTACTCAGCTCTAGAGTTGTTAATATTTAAGTTACTAGAGTTTGAAGTATATAATAGTGACTATAGTAAATATATTCATTCCTTTAATTTTTGTCATTTATTAATCTTGGATTAATATTTAAATGTTATTATAATTACAAGTGTTCATTCATAATCAATAATAACTATTAAATTAGTTAGTATTTTTAAATGTTTCTTTCTTATAGTTTTTAAACGTATTCTTTTCATATTTATAAAATATTAGAATATATATTACCATAAAATCATAATTAGATTGGCCAATCATAAAATAATAAAAAATTAAGAAACTAAAGCTATCTATGTTCAGAATTTTCTGTTTCCATCTTTAGTCATCGAAATTATATTTATTAATTAATAATTATATTATATATTATTTAACCATTTCCAATGATATTGATTTTAAAACTAGAGTTTAATTGTGTTGTGTCTGGTTAAAATTAGTTGGTAAATATTTCTGTAAAAAAAATGTAAAGAGTCCTATTTTCATGGAAATCCCAGTTTTCTTTGTTAAAATAATCTATTATGTTGTATGATTTAATCAGTTTTCAACTATCTACCATAAGTTCTTTATTGGACAATATTTATAAAACTGAGATACTGCTGAAAGTATTCTTTTGTGTGCATTCTTTAATAAGTGTTAGTATATTTATATTTTAGGTTTAACCTTTATTTTGATTTTATCTATATTCTTATTTGCATTAAACTTTTATTTATAAAATATAATGCAATCGTTATTTTAAAAAAAATAATTACCATGGAAGTAAACACTTTTATTTTTGATGATAGATAACTAAACTATACATAGGAAATATTAGAAGTATAACATTTTTTATTTAGTATCACAACAAATTGTATTTTTATTATATACTACTAATAAATTACATTTTTAATTACTTACTATACTTCAACATGCTTATTTGGTATTTTTAAATAATTATCTTTTATATATGTTTAACTAGATAATCAATTAAATATTTAATCGATTAAGTAATAACTTTTTAAGCGTTGTAGGAACCACATTAAAGATGTAACTGGCAAAGTGTCCAAACTATTGCTTATCATTAGTTCTATTATTATCTTTTATGAAAATAAAATTTATGAAATCATGAACACAATACTGTCAATCAAATATATGATATAATATGAAGTGCCTATCACCAAATGCAATACAATTAATCAATAACATTAAATTATTTTTATTATTTGTTAAAAAAAAAATTAATAAAAATTATTAATGAGTTAGCCAAAATTAAGTTTTGTAATGTGTTTAGGATTGCCAACCGTCCACTTTTCGCCTGGACAGTTCAGATTTTCTGAGTCCTGTTCAGTGTACAGTCATACCTTTCAACTGGATGCCACAAACTATTAAATGTCCTGGTTTTTTCTAAGTTCCTCGATGTATTTATGCGATAGAGACTAGTAGATATTAACTTTTAGATAAAATATGTGTATAAATATATACCTTCTATACATATATCAATAAATAATCGTAGTAATAAAAATGATAAAAGATACAATTAAATTCTTATCATTCAAGTACAAACTTTAATACCTACCTACAATGACGACTAATTAAAAAAAAAAAACAGTTATCACTCGTTAGTTCATATTTGTCATTTGACGTGAAGTCTCATAAAGGCGGCAAAAACCGAAAAAAAAAAAATACAAATTTAAAAAGCAAAATACCACTTAATTAATATACATTAAATTTATATAATATAATTATATATATATATATATATATATTTATTTATTTATATTCATAAATTAAGTTTATGACGACAAAAAAAGAAAAAGGTTTTCAGTAAACGTCCAGTTTTTCAAATTAAAAAAGTTGGCAACCTTAAACGTGATGTTTAATCAATAAACCATTTTATTTAATTTGAATATAAAATTAAATATTTCCTAATAGATTTTGATAAATAAGAAATCATAATTATGAGTAAAATACCAAAATTACAAACAACAATTTTTTAACATATTTAACTTGTCATTGTTAAATATCATTTTTATTTATTTTTATTTTTTTATATATACGATTATGTGTGTGTGTGAAATACTTACCTATGTAATAGTACAGATAAACATAATAATTAAGATAAAACATATTAATTTTTAATAATATCTAGCTGTCAAAGATGATACGGTGGCTATATCTCAATACGCATTCGCTGGTTCAAATTTATTCTCCAGCAGTTTTACTCTTTGGGCGGTGATGACTGTCTTAAAAAAAAAAAATATTATTCTCGTACAAAATTATTCTCACTTAATAGAAGTGTAAAATTCTTGAAACAAAATTTAATTTTGTTTTTTTATTCCAGTTATTGATAAATATGTCTTAAAAAAAATGTAAAAAATGCAATTTATATCTAATTTTTAAAATGTTTTAGGTCTATAAACATTCAAAATAGATCCTATAAAAAAAAGAAAGATGGAAAACGGGCTCACACAAAAGTTCAAGGTTGCAGACTTATCACTTGCTGAATGGGGCCGCAAGGAAATTGTTTTAGCTGAAAGAGAAATGCCTGGTTTAATGGCTTTACGAAGAAAATATGGTCCTCTCAAAATTCTTAAAGGAGCTCGTATTGCTGGTTGTCTTCATATGACTATCCAAACGGCTGTTCTCATTGAAACTTTAGTTGAATTAGGTGCTGAAGTACAGTGGTCTAGTTGTAATATTTTCAGTACTCAAGATCATGCTGCTGCAGCTATTGCAAAAGCTGGAGTACCTGTATTCGCTTGGAAAGGTGAAACTGAAGAAGAATATTCATGGTGCATTGAACAGACTTTGGTTTTTGCTGATGGAAAACCCTTAAACATGATTTTAGATGATGGTGGAGATTTGACCACTTTGGTTCATGAAAAATACCCTCAGTTTTTGGATGGAATCAAAGGAGTATCTGAAGAGACAACCACTGGTGTACATAACCTATACAAAATGAAAAAATTAGGTTTGTTAAAGATGCCTGCCATCAATGTCAATGATTCAGTGACCAAAAGTAAATTTGATAACTTGTATGGTTGCCGTGAATCTCTTATCGATGGTATAAAACGTGCAACAGATATTATGATTGCTGGAAAAGTATGTGTTGTTGCTGGATTTGGTGATGTTGGCAAAGGATGTGCTATGTCATTACAAGCTTTTGGTGGCCGTGTTATTGTCACAGAAATTGACCCTATTAACGCACTTCAAGCGTCTATAGCGGGTTTTGAAGTAACCACTATGGAAGAAGTCTGTTCTAAGGGACAAATATATGTAACAACCACTGGTTGCAAGGGTATTATTACTGGTGAACATTTCCCAAATATGCCAGATGATGCTATTGTTTGTAACATTGGTCATTTTGATTGCGAGATTGAAGTGACATGGTTGGAAAAGAATGCTATTGAGAAAGTCAATATTAAGCCCCAAGTGGATCGATATACTCTGCCTAATGGTAAACACATTATTTTATTGGCTGAAGGAAGACTAGTCAATTTGGGTTGTGCTACTGGACATTCCTCTTTTGTTATGAGCACTTCGTTCACCAATCAAGTACTTGCTCAAATTGAATTATTTACTAAAACTGACCAATACAAAAATGAAGTTTATGTATTACCTAAGAAATTAGATGAAGAAGTAGCAGCTCTGCATTTAGATCATTTAGGTGTTAAGTTAACCAAGCTCACTGAAGACCAAGCCAAGTACCTAGGACTACCAGTTGAAGGTCCATATAAACCTGATAGTTACAGATATTAAAACCAATTTCATTGAAAATATCTCATTATTGTGTTTCTATAATAAAAGATAAAATACTTAAAGAGAATATTTTTTTTTATCTTCAAGAAATTATTTTCAAATATTATTATACCATATGTAATGAATTAATATGCCTGCATACTATTTTTTTATGTACTTATAATATGTATAAACAAAATTCATAAAACTAAATAATTATTTATAATTGTATCATTGAAAAATGACCAATTACACTTAAATTAAAAAAAAATTAGAATATTTCTCTTTTGTTACATTGGCCGCCAGTCATAGTATTTTTATAAAAAAATTGCCAATTTTTATTATGAATAAAAATAAACAATTATTAAAACTGTTAAATGTACATCCATTTAAATAATAAAACATATAATAATAATTATATTACTTATTCTGGTTTGGTTGATGAAAGCCTTGTAGTCATTAGTCCCTTTTTAGAGCTCACCTTATGTATTGATATTCGACTAATGACTAAATAAAATTAGATGTTAAAAAATTAAGTCTTCAATACCATTTACTAGCCTGACATCAAATCAATATTCAATATTTTAACAATATTATGTGAAATAATATATAATTAGTATTTTTAGTTTCAGAAAAATAATGACACATAACTAGCTTATACTATAGTAGTGTGACTATACAATTCACTATTACAAGATCTATCGACTATCTTGAACAAAAAATAGTATAATATTATATAAGCCTATATTAATTTATGTGACAAAATCAAACACGATTTTTAACTTATTTTACAACACTATAGAAAAACTGTTATACATGGGATTGATATAAATTACATAACTATAATTAGGAGTACGTTAATCATATATTCATAAAAAACAAAAATGAAATAAGGAAATCGACACTAAGGATAAATTTGATAAATAAGGATATGAATGAAGAATAACAAGAAATTAAGAGGTTTAGAATAACCCTACAGGCTGATATCAAAAGTAGTGAAGTGCGAGGGAAGATGGAGAGAGATGTAAAGATCCAAGGAGATATGACTGCATCCGAATTGGGTCCCGAATTTAAAATTACTACACTAGTTGGGTCCTGAATTATTTTAGTTATACACTAGTTGTTGAATATTTTTTGTTAAATACTACATTATACTAACATTTTCCTTCCCATTTTAACAGACTTAGGACTGTCTATGATCTATTTAGATCACAGGACCACATTTTTTTAAAATTCTATAATTAATATAATATTTTTATATAATGGTATTGGAAAGTTTATATAGTGTAATAAAAATATTATACAATAATATTAATACAATTTAATTAAATTCAAAAGTAAATGAAAAGTATCTGTGTATATATTACTATTGGGATCATAGACATATTAATATGTCTATGATTGGGATATTAGTAATAAAAAAAGACAAGTGGTTTTCTCTTATGAACTTTTCGAGCATCCGTGTAATGACAATAGTGTTATCGGTAATATCTGATAATTTCGTATTATTTGTAATACAAAGCCGCTGCCTGCTGATAAACATATCGTTATAAACATAATTTTAATCTTGGATACTATTTTCTAATGTAATTTTAACCATAAGTCAACATTGTTTACATTTTATATATATATTTATCTTCTACATATATTCTTACAATAATTTCTGTTGCGTTTGAATTACAATAATACCAAATAATGATTGTATTGTCTTTGTCTAAGATACGACTTTTCATCACAAAAAACTAACAATATTTGCTTATGATGTAAATAGATGATAGTAGTAGCCCAAATTATTCATAATCCTACCGGCCCAGGCGTATATCTCCACCCGTGCCAGTCCACCCCTGCCTCTTATTCTTTGTCTACTCCCAAATAACAAAAATACATTTATACTCAAACTTTTTGGATATTATGTAATGAATGCGAAAAACTTAATTTGAAATTTTTACCTCAAACAATTTATGTAGATCTTGAAGAAGCTATTAATAATTCTATTTTAACAGTATGACCGGAAACAAATATTAAAGGGTGTAGATTCCATTTAGGACATAGCTGATGGCGGGAAATTCAAAGTTTAGGATTATCAAATAAATGTAAAAGTGACTATGAATTTAGTAAATATCTTAAAGAAAAATTTGGCTTATCATTTCTACACCCAGAGGACGTGGAAGATTGTTTTACCGATGATCTAATGTCTATCCAACCAAACGACAGACGAATTCAAGAATTCATTGACTACGTTTTTGATAATTATATTAATGAAGGAGTGAGATTTCTACCAACAATTTGGTCAAAATTTAATGCAACGATAATGCAAACCACAAATTCTTGCGAATCATTTCACTTCCATTTTAATTTAATGTTTTACACACACGTCATAATATTTATCAGTTCCTAGAAATTTTAAAGAATGTACAAATTAATACTTTTATTAAATAAGAAGTTTAGAAGTAACGAAAAAAAGGAAGGAACTGCGTTTTACTAAAAGAAAATTTTTTTTCAATTAATAATGAATTTAGTAAATTATTGTTGTAGTTTAAAATGTAAATATCAATTTTGATAAAAATAAATAAAATCTTAATTATAATAATAATAATAATTCTTTATTACCGAATAAAATTCCAATTACAAATATTTTAACATAATATAGTGAGTGTAAAGTTGTAAGTATGAATATTAGGGTGGTTCTTATTTATAGGGATTTTTTTATTATTATTATTATTTATAATCGATGCCTCCAAAAAGGTTCCAATATGTATAAAATTGAAGAATACAAAATTTGAATATAATCGGATAATTTTAACCCGTGCCCCAAAGCCCTTAAAGTTACTAACATAATAAACCGTAGACATGACTGTAAATATAAAAATACCTCACCGATACAGTTCATATTATAATCGTACATAGTCCGTTTTTATCTTAATGCCTTTTGATATCTAATGTGATTATGTGAATCATAATTGTGACGACCATGAATATTCGTATTTATCATTAGTTATTGCAAAGTCACTGGTGTTGTTACTGCATAGTTCATTTATAAAATAGATATTATAATGTCACTACTATACGAACTTCGTGTTCAGACGAAAATATATTTAATCGGAGACGATGCAAATCAAATTATAGGCAGTAAGTTACCATCCAATATGCAAGTGTTAAAGGTTTTATTTTATAATCTTAGAAAAGTGAAGCTTAATTTGAGACAGAGTTCCTCTTTAGTTTTAAAAGAAAAAATGATATTTTGGGAAAAAGCGCGAATACCAACTAGAGATTTTCAACGTTGTATTGAAAAATTAGAAAAAATGTAAAATGAATGGAGAAATTTACAGAAACATGCAACAAGAAAAAATGAAAACCAAATAAATAAGGAAAAACAGTTTAAAGATCAATTAGAAGATTTATTTGATATAGCTCATGCCAATTCTATGCAGATGATAAGTTTGGAGGATGATAAAATTTTTTTGACTTTACAACGCCAAAAGGGAAGGCCTGGTTATTTATCTGGTGTAGATTATGCATTTATGAGAAATGTTAAAGATAAAGAAGAAAGACAAGAGAAACTAAATGCTAGAAAAAAACGTCATTATGAACAATGTGCTGCTACTTTTAATAAACGTAAGTTCGTTATTTTCTTTAATCATACCTTTATTTTTAATAAATTATTAAATCATTTTTTTTTTTTTTACTTTATTTTGTAGAATCTATTGATTTCAGTGATGACGATTTTTCCGACGAAGTTGCAAGTACTAGTGAAATTGACTGTTTACCAGTATCTTCTACAGAATATAAATCTAATATAATAGATACTTCACAAACTCAACTCACCGTCACTAATAAAACACGAGGTAGAAAAGAAATCATGACAGCAAAATTATCTTCAGCCCTTGACCGTTGTAAAATTAGTGACAGAGATGCAGTTCACATAATAATTGCAGTAGCAGAAGCACTTAAAGTTGAAGTTAGTGATTTAGTTGTGAACAGATCTTCCATAAAACGATATCGCGAGCAATCGCGTATGGTTTTAGCAAACAATATTCGTAAAAAGTTTTCAACATCTGAATTAAATGCAATAGTCTTACACTGGGATGGTAAATTGCTCATTGATTTAACTGGAAAACAAACTGTTGATAGATTGCCAATTGTTATAACTAATAATGACAGTGAACAACTATTAGGTGTACCTAAGTTATTACAAGGCACTTCAAAAGCTCAAGCAGAAGCTATTTACCAACACTTATCTGAGTGAGGATTAATGGATCACGTAAAAGCAATATGTTTTGATATGACTGCGACAAACACGGGTTAGTTAGAATAAAAACATACAATTTTATAATAAAATATTTATTTTTATATAATTTTTATATTTATTTGTAATAATTCAAGCATTTAAATGTTTATACTTTAGGTCGAATCGGCGGTACATGTATATTACTTGAACAATGGTTGGAAAGAAGTTTATTATATTTACCCTGTCGTCATCACATTTATGAGATAATTTTGAGAAGTGTTTTTGATCATAAATTCGGTTCAACATTTGGACCAAATGTTCCTTTATTTCAACGGTTTCAACTAGCGTGGCCAAAACTTAATCTCAACAACTTCAAACCTGGACTTCAAGACACTAAAGTTAGTCAACATTTAAATAATTCGACTGAATGTATTTTAAAATTTTGCATGTCTGAATTAACTAAAATTCAATGTAGGGAAGATTACCGAGAATTTCTTGAACTAACTGTTATCTTTTTAAATGGTACTCCTGCTCGTCATATCTTTTTTCGAGTTCCAGGAGCAATTCATCATGCTCGCTGGATGTCGAAGGCAATTTATTGTTTAAAAATATTTATACTCCGTCAAAAATATAAATTAAACAAAAGAGAATACAATTCAGTTCGTGATATTTGTATTTTTATTGTTCTTTGCTATGTTAAAGCGTGGTTTAATGCACCAAATGCTTGTGTTGCACCACGCCAAGACTTACAATTTTTGCGTGATCTTTATGATTATAAAACAATAGATGAAAATTTATCTGAAGTTACACTAAAAAAATTTATCAATCATCTATGGTATTTGTCTCCAGAGTCAGTTGGATTTGCATTTTTCGATAATGAAATTTCTGACGATACAAAAATTAAAATGGTTCAAGCTTTAAAATAAGATAATAATGTAGATGGAGACTCAATTAATGTAGAAAAACGATTATATGTAAAATTAAATGAAATACCAAGTTTTATAAATAATACGATTGAATCATTTATTTCAGATAAAACTTTAAATTTTTTTAAAAGGTTCAATATAAATTATAACTTTATTGAAACATCGCCATCAACTTGGGAGAACAATTTAGAATACAAACGGGGTAAAGAAATTATCAGCAAATTAAAAATTGTAAATGATACGGCTGAACGAGCTGTTAAATTGATTGAAGATTTTAACAAAATTGGTCCAAAAAATGAAGAACAGAAGCAGTATATTCTTCAAGTTGTCACGGAATACAGGCAACAGTATTCAAATTCAAACAAAAGCACTCTTATGGAAAAATTATAATATATGCAAGAAAATAAAATATTGGTAGCCATTTATTAAAAATGTATTAATTATTATAAATTGTTTATAAAATTAAGATTTGTTTTTTCTTACAAAATATGTATTTATTATTTAATTTTTCGTTAATTTTATAAATTACTCAATTTTTAAAAATATTAACAACGTGCAACTTTTGAGAGCTTTGGGGCACGGGTTAAACTTATCCGATTATGCTCAAATTTTGTATGCGTCATTTTTATACACATTGGCACCTAATTAGGGGGATCGGTCACAAAAATTTAAATATTTAAAAATAAGGACCACCCTAATGAATATATTTCAAAACAAAACAATTTAAGAATATATAGATAATTTATAGAAAAATATAACATATTTAGGTAAGTATTTAGTTATGATATAAATAATAATAATAATAAGTAATGACAAATGAAGAATGGATAAGTAATTGTATTTGATGGGTAATTGATCATGGTGATTATTTTATATTATAAGGAAATAATGAAAAGTAAAATAAATATCAAATAAAAAGAAAGACAAGAATGATTTAATGAAACAAATCAAAAGCTAAATTAGAATTTCCTGCAGACATTAAAATGTTTGCAGGACAATGTAACATATACTTAGGATTTGTATTTACCAAATAAAATGTGATATACCAAATAAAACTTTCCTTCTAGAGTTTATTGGGTTTATTTTAAAATTTAATTGATAAAGAAGCTCAGGGCAATCAATCACATTATGCAATAATTTATTCAAAAAATTTAGATTTAAAGTGAGATATCTATTTTTTAACGAAACAATTTAAAAAAAATCACCAATTTGATCATAACCCGAATGGAGAATTCGGTCAACATTACATTTAAAAGATAGATATCTTAAAAAATTATTTTGTACTGAGGAAAGGCTCGTATTATAACCGATATTATCTGTATACCAAATTAATTAGGCATATTCTATTTGTGACCGAACTAATGAAAAGTATAAAGTTTTTAAGGCAGAATGATCATGAAAGTCTATGCACATACGTTTTAAAAAGCCTAATTTCATAAAAGATTTATTACGAATGTAATCTACATGCTTATCAAAAGATAGTTTTGAATGAAACAAAACACATAAATCTTTTATGGTGTTTTTATTAGTTGAACATAGTTTATTTATAGAATAATTAAAATTTAAAGTTGTTTTTTTTAGGGAGAAAGATATAGTAGAACTTATAGTATTTATCAATAGTAAGAGACATACCGTTATTTTTGTACCATAAATAAAAATTATCCAAATCAATTTGAAAGTTTCTTGAATCTTCAAAAGACTATTTTTTTGAAAAGTTTCGTGTCATCCGCAAGTAATAGGCATTTTGAATGTTTTGAAACCTTTACAATATCATTGATAAATAAAGAAAATATTAATGGAGATAAATGATCCCCTTGAAGAAGACCAGATAAGACCTTAATTATATCTGAGAAATAATTTTCATATCTTACAATTTGAGTGCGATTTATTAAAAACGAGTTTATCCATGAGAGCAGTGGGTTATTAATTCCAATTGATTCTAATTTATTTATTAATAATTTGTGATCAACTCTGTCAAACGCTTTTTCAAAATCTGTGTATATAACGTCTAATTGGGCTTTTTCATTAAAAGTGTTTAGAAATGTTTGTTTAAAAATACATAAATTGGTTATGGACGAGCGTTTTGGTCGAAAACCATGTTGTTCATTGCAAATGATTTTTTCACAAAAGGGAAAAAATTTTTTATTTATGAGTTTAGAAAATAATTTAAGGAGAATTGAAAATTATGCTATAATATACAAAATAAAAACCTATTGAAGAGTTTATTAAAAATATAATACACATATATGTATACTCGTATATAACTGATAAAACAATATTATAGTGAATAATGCAAATTAATTTTTTTAAAGTAAGTATTTTAATTAAACCTATAGTAACGAGTAATACCCAAGAAGTGTTAGAATTTTAATTTTTTCTTTTTTTAATATTTTTACTTTTTTTAATCTTGACTATGTACTTTGTTGTCTTCACAATTAAAAATACACTTATGATTATCATCGTTATAATAACCAAACAAACATCTATTAAGAAATATTGGATGAAACTTTGCGGAATATTCCTGCTTTGCTTAAGATGATCAGCTCCGTTATGGCGAATTACGTATTCCACCCAGTATAAGGCCCGATCCATTGATTTCATTTGATTATCTTTGAAAATTTCACATCGTAATTTCGTATTTTCTTTATACCTATATAAACGACATAATCACGAATTTATAACCGAATAGTTATTATAATATCAGCTAAACAGGTCATTAAATATATGTCTTTCAGTATTTCGTGTATATAATATTTACTTTCGATTTGCGAGGACTTCGTTAATCGCTGATAGCAATAAGTTTTCGTTCAAATCGATATGATCGACCATCTTACCAAAGCCATTTTGTTCGACTAGTCGCATGTTCATATGCTGGTCACCAAAAAAAGGAATGCCGACAATCGGTACCGCGTTGTAAGTAGCTTCTTCGAGGCTGTGTATCCCTCCATGTGTAATGAACAGACGGACGTTTGGGTGACCTTTTGACATATTAAATACGTAAACGATTTTACATGTATTAGATATAGAAGTGTTGTAAAAATACATTTAAACAAAGTATTTAATCACACGAAGGATTTAGATATTTTTGTACATATTTAATATATATATATATATAAACATTTTATATTTAATAGATAATAAGTCAATTACATTTCATTAAAATATTTTTTCTTGATTGACGTGTGGTTTTATAGGAATATTTATTTTACATAGGTTCATGAATGACGAATAATATGTTTTTTAAGTCAAACATTTTTACAAAGGATTTAAACCCTTATTATAAAATTTATATATAAGTTATAAAATTATAATATGAAAAAAGTAAGTAAATTTACATTTTTTTTAATCACCCCTCCATGAAATATCTTCATGTAATACAATATCAAATTATACAAAACAGTGAAAACCACAATTTTTATTTTTGAAAATTATCCGACAAACCGAAGAAAAATAAAATCTTTCGAATTGGTTATATTATTTTAAAAACGCCTTTTCTCAAAATAACTAATTTCTCATAAAATAGCCCATGACCTACATATATATCTAAATTAAATATAGATATACGTACCTAAAATATCAGATTGTGGAAACCATTCGCTCACCATAACATGATCCGGCAACTGTGGAAGATTTTTCGAATCCCATTTCCACATGACTTTTTGCTTAAGTTTTTTTATAACATTTACAAAAATTTCTATCGTTGAATTCGGTAATTTAGATGGATCCACAATGGTACCGAAACTAAAATAAATCACTCCGTATTTGGCAGATTCGACAAACTCCAAAAATTTCTGCGTATAAAGTAAATACATAAACGACGAGAACACTAAAAGACGTGATAACGTCACTGCAGATTATATATATATATATATATATATATATATATATATATGTATATGTATAACTAATTTTTGTATAATTTTACTACAGAATACTATTACTGATATCACTAACCACCCAGAGCAGAGGTTCCCGACCTTTTTAACTCACGGCACCCTTTATTATTTTCTAAAAATTTGGAGGCACCCTATAGCCTATGCCCTATACTCTATAGTTTATACTGAATACGCAATACTAATATATCGTATATTTAAATTTCTATTTTATAATTTCAGTTTTATTTAACATTAATAAACAATAAAGATAAGATAAAGTCACAAGTATTTCACCGTAAATAACTTTATAACAGTTCACATCAAATCGATATCAATCGAACCAGTATGAAAATTAAAATAGATTAAACATCTCAAAATTACTATGTAAAAATTATATGTATTAATAATTAATTCATTAAATTATATTGTATATACCTATTTAATTATACATTATAGGTTTTATATTATAGACATAGAGTATAGTCTGTTTTATTACTCATAGTGCTATATTTTTCATGAAGGCGTTTAAAAATAAATATATATTTCAAATATATTTGCGGTACCCTAGGGTGCTGCGGCACCCTGGTTGGGAACCTCTGACCAAGTGTCATTAAACTAAATACCAATTAGGAAATAGGTAAATAATAAAAATATGAATATTCTTATAATTAAAACTTTTAAAATTTGCATATTTTGTTTGAAAGATTAATAAAATAACAGAATCAAACAGAAATACTATTCATGATGTAAAGAATCTAAATCCTAAATTTTATTTTACGTATATTTGCATATTTTACAGTCATCAATTTTTAGAGCATACTTCAGTATTTAACTTTTAAGGGCTATAAAAGGTTATATATCATACATAGTCATAAATCTTATTGTATGCCACGCATTTATAAATTTCGTGATTTTAAAATTATATAAATTTTCTTTGAAATGAACGCCACAGATTTACGTTTAAAAACATTCGGATACATCGGATATTTCAACAAATTTGTATTAAACCAATGGTAGTTGCTAGCGTACAGACAGGGTGGGCAGCTGCCAGTAACAAAACTACTATAAAATTATTAAACAATACGAATTGGGTATATTATCATTATGATATGATACCACTCACGTTCTGTAGTATCGATGCAATGCATAGGATAGATATGTATGATAAATAAATATTCTGCATATCTCTAACGCACCTAATTGTTTTTGTTACTAAGAATACGCGCGACTGTCAATACATCACATATTAGTATTTTATTTAGTATTTGTATTTATAGCGTTAAACAAAAATCAATGAAATATTTTTTCAACATTTTAGATTGTATAGACTATGAAATTATGTTTAAATTCACTGAAAATAATAAAATACTACAAAGTATACATGCATGTAATCCAAAGTCTAATGAATTTCTAAATTCAAATTTAATAAGTGACATAACAGATATGTGTCAACTATATAATAATAATGACTTAGTCAGGGGCGTCATTTCAACTTTTTGAAAGGTATGCTAAAAAGTAGGCAAGCAAAAGAAAATGTCAGCAGGCCAATATAGATATATTATACCAGAATTTAAATTAAAATAAAATAATTAAATTAACAACCAAATATACTTTGAAAATAACAAAATATGCATTACAATACATTTTTTAGTTGAAACTTAACATGTTTGTATGACTGATTAAATCATGCACAAATGCATTAAATAGCTAAATCATGATGCGTTTTACTTCTTAGGATGTAATGACTTATTAATTTGAAAAAAATCAGGTTACAACTTTATAATATTGTGCACCTAATAATATTTATGAAATATCAAACTAAACAATTATATTTTATTATATATATATACACATATAACCCGAAAACGCTTTTTCGTTTAAACTCATGATCAAAATTTACGAAAACTCGACATATGACCTAACCTACATTGTAGGTACCCGGCTACACGTGGCACACATAAAAGTTAAAGCACAAAAAAAATTCACACTACTAACTAAATCACTAAATAATAATGTATACTGTATAGATAAAAAATTTTATTTTTGATTTGATAATTTGATTATTATTGGTTGTCCTAATTTTATTAATCATAATATCATAGAGCACATTATTACATGGTACAATAAAGCCACAGAGTATACTTTGTGCATAATGCTAATATTGAATCTATTTATAAAGTTAATTTCGGTTATCTTTGCTTACCATGGTGAATATCTAACAGTGATGCAGTCGACCAGCTGTTTGTGGTTGGGGGGATGACTGATTGAGGAAAACAGATGCTACAGAAATCATTATCACTTTCGTAACCATAATAAAATATATGTGGAAAAATATATACAATTATAATTGATTATTGATTATTATAAATTAGGTAATAATATATAATAGAAAAATTTAAACCAGGATCACAGGATTCTTTGTGGATTCCTAACGACGCAGAAAAATTGGATTCAGGCCAAAATACAGTGTTTGAAAATTTTAGATTTGCACTGGCATACCCTGCATACCTCAAATGACGCTCCTGGACTTAGTAGAATCGTTAAAAATCAATGATAAATGGAGAAATCTCTGTTTTTAAATGCTTCGAAATTGTTTAACGTACATTAACAAATACATAGTTAAGGTGAAGCCTTCACCAACTTGAGAAAAATATTTGAATTGTCTATGGTAATCCCTGTATTCACAGCTAGTGCTGAAAGTAATTTTTCTATTAGGCAGCGTGTTAAAACTTACATTGAAACTGCAATGCAAAGCCTAAGATTAATTAACCTAGCTTTATAATCTATAGACAAATAAAACCGAAAAACTGTTAAAAGATCCAACTCCTGTTTTAGAAGTGCTTGGAAAAATGAAAAATAAAATATTGCAATTTAAAATGGAATATTAATCTTTATTTCTTAAATAAACATTTATATATATTGTAATAAACAATAAGAATATAATTTATATTTACATTAAAGAATAAAGAAAATCTACTGATACATTTTTGAGTATTGATATTCAAAGTAAAAATGTTATGATTAAGCATTAACATTTATTCATTAGCATATTTATAAATTCGTTTATGCCCGTTTAAATTTGAATCCTATAACCACATCTACATCAAATGATATTAGTTATTTAGTTAAAGACATTTCATAGTTTTGAAATATTTTAACGAATTTTAGATTGTTTATAGGAACTTGAAATTTTCAATTTTCACAAAAATATATAAAAAGTCATCTACCGAACTCTTTAACCTAGAACCATTTTTACAACGACAATGATAGATTGTCTTCAAGTTTAAAAGACCATTGCAGAAATTTTGTTAACTCAGTAAATCATCCGACCTAGAAGTTTCGCCCTTTTTATGATTTGCTTAGATTGTAACATACATTTTTGACTGAATATATACCTAAATACCATGGCGTTCAGTAAAATGTCTGATTTGACTATATTCTTACGATATATTTATATATATGTATATAGGTACGTACTCCTGTCAATGGTCTTGGATCGTTCACGTGAAGCCCTGCGATTTCGACTGTACCGGGTAAGTAGGGTCTCGTCACCCCAATACTGTGGTGTGCATTCAGAAGTGTCACCGACACGTTCTTTAACATATCTTCGAGAGGAGGTCTCGATTCATATCCTTTGTACTTAAAGTATTTGTCCATTAACTCCTTTTGCTTTGACAAATAATAGTAGTCTTCCAAAAACAGTTGGTACATCCCAATGACTGTGTTTTTGAACCGATCGACGAAAGACATTCGATCAGTGGCCCCGGTTCGCTGATCGAGTATGTACGAAAATGTGGACGGCTCGCCGTTCCATTTACTGTTGGAAGTCCATAGCATCGAAACGCCTAGATTAATGACGGGTGCGTTGTACTTGTGACCAAGTGCGACCGAGTATTCCTGGTAAAACGAAAAAACCATCACCAGGTCAAAGTCAAATTCTTCGGACATAATGAAGTATTGCACGTCCGGTTGAGAAATAATTTTTTTAGCCAAGGTGGTAGACATTGTCCAAAGACTAGGCAGTACCGTCAAGAAATTATGTTTGGCCAATTCCATTGGGTCGATCACTTAAAAATATGTATAACTTTTAAAATTAATATGTATGCGTATTTCCTATAACACGATAAAATTGATACATATATTCTAGTTAACAACCTTTATAAATGTTTTTATCAACTGCAATCGTAATGTCTGTATAGTTTTCCATTGGTTTGTTCAACGGAAACGAGCTCACTACGGTAAGGTTATATCCTCTGCCGGCGAGTTCTTTGAATAACGGTTGAAATCCTCTGAAGTGGCTTTTAAACGGCATTGGTGCGAATACAAGTATGTTTGTACTTCTTGAGATAGTGATCACAGCGAGTAGTTGGTAAATAAAAATCCACATAATTAAGTAAGATTTGGCCATTATATAATAGCATTAAATGTTCCGGCGCGTAAATCCTAAAAACAATATCACGCGTTTAATTACTGTAATTCATTTTAAAAATATTTACCAATCTTGAAACGAAAAATTATATCTAAAAATGCAAACGTTATGATCTCCAATATCTAACAGGACATAAAAAGAATGATTAAATTGCACTTATAATTTTTAAACTATATAACAACTATATTGAACTATATCTTAATATACATATATGTATATATAACTACTTACAACTACATTGTTATAATTTCATTGCTTTTAAAATAGATCTTAAAAATAATTATAATAATAATAATAATAATAATATTATAATAATTAAAATAATATTAAATATCAATTTTAATTTCCATTAAATTTTAATACAAAATAAAAACTATTTTTTTTTTTTATAAATAATTTTAAATGTAATTTGTAACACATTTGATTTTACACAATACGATATGATATAGACATCGGAAATTTTAAGATGCGTGGTCTAAGAAATAAAAGATAAATTTTATGTACGATATCGTAGATATAATAAAAATAATGCTTTTTTTTAACTGTTATTTGTTTACGTTGCATATAGGTTTATTCTCTTATTTATTATACCTTACATAGTGTTTAATGAACAATTTTAATTTATAATGTTTAGAAGCCGTGTTTTAAAAGTCTTAATATTACTTTATATTCTGAAATAATGAAATCATTAATAACAGTGAAGGTGAGAATAGTAAAAATGTTTTATGCAATATATTAAGATTATAAATTAGAATCTTCTTTTAACATACAACAAGAACCGCGTGTTTTGGAAAATTTCTCAGGACGTGCATGTGTACGAACCGTAGGCACGCCTTCAACGGTGTTATTAAGTATTGTGTATCGAAACATGTAAATGGTGTAAAAATAGCGATCGCGTGTATTGATTATTAATGAAAATTGTTTTCGTCACTGCTTTGGAATTGAACCTATTCTAGGATGTTCCGAAAATCCTCCGTTCGAAACACATGCATTGGATTTCTGATTTTTACATAAAAATCGAACGAGCGCGAGATTTCGTACGAAAGATAAAAACGTCACCGACGGGTTGGGTTTGAAAACGAATGATTTTCCACGCGTTTAATGAACCAATCGTTCTTACCGTATAAAACGCGAGAGTGTCCGCGGCTCGACGTTCGTTCCGATCAATTGAATTAATGATGGCCCGAAGTTACAACATTGCAGTTCGTAGGAAACACAGGTACCTCCCGTAGGTACCGTTGAAAATTCGATTAGAATAACATTTCACGCACCGTTCGGAGATTAGATATCGTCTGCAATATTACGCCGTATCGAGTGTCTACGCGACGTGCGCGCCGTCGATTGCGCAGTTCGCGCGTCGTACACTAAAACCGTACGCGCAGCGCAACGCCTAACCGAGTCGACAATGAAGCCCGAGCGGTTCGACCGCCTCGGCGATACACTTTTGTCCTTCTCCGAGGCTCACGTACCCATTGCAACGTAACGTGATGTCGATAAACCGGTCGGACGCGCACTGCAGTATCATGGATCAAATGTTAGTGATGAGCGTAATCGAGATATCTCGATTATCAAAATAATAATTCGATTCGATAATCCGAGAGATTATTTCGAGTGATATTTCGTTCATTTTAAAAACAATCAATTCTTGAACTCGAAACGTGCATCGAATGAAAAAATATTTCGAATGATTTTCATGGAACGAAGAAGTGAGGGTGGAATATTATTTTTGATCTTCATAGTCGAATAAGTAAACACTAGTTGTTCACTTTGAGTCTTTGTATTTACGACTCGTGGGACTGGTTGTTAGACAAATATTGATGGGTGGTATACGGTTATTCTCAGTTATTTATATTTTGTTAAGTTTGACATAAATGTATACCTATAATTTTTGAATTGCTCAATCACAAAACAACAACAATTTTTCAGAACGTTTGTAAATAAAATTATATTATATTTATATATTATATTCCAATGGAACATTTTGATTATTTCGAGACATCTCGTGGTTATAAAAATGTCTCGAATACTAATATTTCGATTATGCCCATCACTATTAAATATACACAGATGGACGATAGACGGAAACTAATTAATTTAATATAAAGATGTCACAACAGATAGCGTAAAGTCAATCGGTCATTTGAAAAATATTTGGTTTATGTTTATTTGGACTTGTGGATTTTAGATAGTGAATGCTGCCGAACAAAAGCGACCGTAAAGCGTGCTTGATCCAATTGACGTATTTTGTGTACAAAAATTGAATTCAATTATTGTTTATTTTTTCGATCTGTTCATTAGACTAAAATTAAAATTACAAAAAACAATTACTTGAAGGTATACATACATAGAAGCATCATTAGAGCAATATCAATATAAGGATATACTTCAACTATTATCTTTTATAAATGCTAACATACCTACATTGAACACTTTTAGGTACAATTTTACTCCTTTTGTAAACTTTTTAAATGTGCCCTAAAGTAAATACCGCGTTCTGTTTACCCAAGTCTTTATTATAAACATTGAACGAAAATATAATATCGTATCGAATAATTAGTGTAATATACCTATTTTGCTATTTCACTATTACATAGGTGACTAGGTATAATATAATTTTTTTAATTTCTAATTAGATGCTCAACAATGTTTTTTTTAAAATACTAAACAATACCGAAAAAGGTGTGAAAATTAAAAAAATCATAAACACATCATAATAAAAGTTAGAATATTTTGCCGCTCCCAAAAATTTGCCGCCCGGGGCATTTGCCCCTTTCGCTCCCCCCCCCCTTAAATGCGCCACTGGATAACCGTGGTTAAGGGCTATCAATTACACTATAATATTTGGACGATATTAGCTCTTAATTTAAAGAGTATTATAAAACATTTTATAAAAATAATATAACATGATATTGGTAATAATCTATTATTTATTTTACAAATATCTAATTATTAAAATAAAATAAACTGTTATAATAATAATAACATGCATAGGCGTGCACATGGGTGGTACCGGGTGTGTCCGGGCACCCCCCCAAATGTTGTAAATAGGGCCCTATGATTTAAGTCTAAGAGTAACGGGCCTGTATTATAACTGATGTTGCTCAAATGAATTATAATCTACTCTAAAATATCTGGTAAAAGATAAATGGTGTTTCGTAATGGATAAACTAAAACTAAATGTTATAAATTCTCGTGAGAAAACTTATTTTTATGACACAACAGCTACAGTTGACTGCAAAGGTACAAATCATAAATAATTGAAGCTATCGGAGAAGAATACACAACATTCAAGGAAAACATATTAATTGGGATTAATATATCGCACAATATCAAATAGAAAATGAATGTTATGTTTATTCAATTGTTTATCAAATGTACCTATGCGTTTTGTTAAGATAGGGTCCGAAATTATTGCAGGCATCCCCTGAAATGCAGGTTTGCGCACGCCTATGATAATATCTAGAAATAATATATAATATTCCATTGTTAAATAATAGATAATACGGTTTTTGATAGGTATTTACATTAAGTTATGATAGATTGATAAGATTATTAAAAAAAAAGTAAACTAAAATTAAATATTTGAATATTGATCAATATATGTATAACAAATTTAAATACAATTTATTTAGAAAATTGTTGTCGTTTTTCAATTTGTATTAAATCGATTAATTTTGATTACAACTTAATTTATAAGAAATTAATACTAAAATTAAAAACCTAATGAGATATTTTTTATTATAATTTTATTTAGAGTATAAATTGTCATTGTTTTTTTTTTTTATTAAGCTGGTTCAATTACAATTATATATAGGAAAGTAAGGTTAGACTACTAATAGTTTAATACTATAAAATATCTAGCTGACCAGACAGACGTTGTCTTGTTTTAACTATGAATATTGAATTCAAATCTGTATAATTAATAAAAAAAGTGTTTATTATTCTAACGCTTTATGATATACAACATTCTTAGTTATTTTTTTTCTTGCACGTATATAAATAGTTTTGTTGGTATTATTCTAACACGGGAAGAGGCGACATATAACAGACCAAGTGAAAAACATGAATTTTCAAGATTAATGCCACAAACACTTAGCGACTGCTCTTGAGATTTATTTATCGACATTGCAAACGCTAGCCACACTGAAAATTGCAACCGTTTAAAGTCGAACGACATGTTCGGAATCAAAGGAATCCGTGGAATCTAAAAGTCTTCGCCTTTACACTTCCATTTAAAAATTCGATGACGTTCGTTAATTTCTTCACCGCAAGTCGGGTGCCATTACAAAGACGTGGCTGGTCTATATTCCACAACATAATGATTACTGATCCGATTTTTAATTGCAGATTATGAGATGGTAATCCAGGCAATTCCAGCGAATTTGAAAACTCCGTTGGATAGTCGATAACATCATCTTGATCAGTAACGGAATCAATCGATTTGTATGTCATTAATTCGCCAGCTATCTTATTTTGAATCTGAAAATTAGTTTCGTTGACATCAACGTTTTTTGCAATCAATATAATTCTTTCGCTCAACCGTACATGATCTTTGTAATTTTGAGCAATGTTTGGGAAATCCTTTTCGATGAGTTCGGTCTTAGTCTTAGTATAGTGACAAAAACTGGTAGAAAATATGATGTATCCAGACGATGAGTCAATAGGTGTTTTGGCATTACCAATGTCGAGCAATTGTTTGGAAAAAACTTCTCCATATTAGTCGTTTTGCAATTCGACTCGCATGTTCATATTTAATTTGAGCGTTTTAATGTCTTTCCATGAAATGGATGATTTTAAGCTTACCTACTTTAAGTTCGTTAATCTTGCAGCATGTGGTCTAATGCTTCCATAGATTTTTTTTTTCAAATAAATTTGTTATATAGGTCAACGAATAGTTTACCTACGTGATTTTTTTTTTCAATTGCAAAACTAGATTATTTGTTTATGAAATTAGATATTAATACCGAATGTTTTTTTATTCTTAAAGGGAATATTAAACTGGCCGATTTGACTTTTGACCAATTAAATAACAGGCATGTATATAGTTCACATTTTAACCCATCAAATTAAAATAACATTAATTTATAACAAAGATTTTGATCTATTACAATTCCAATTAAATATGACTTTTTTGAATCTCCAAATTTATATAACTCCAACAATAATGTATATGTAACATTAATGTAATATGTAGCCAATTCTAAATTTTTTCCTGGTTTCTAATAGATTTTAACTTAAAGAAATAAAATTAATCAGAGACAGTGTCTAATGAAGAGAAATATTGTGCCATCATTTTTGGCGAAATAAAAATAAAATAATTTTTAGAATATTTTGATAGGGCCGAAAGCATTGTAGATTTAGAGCACAAAGATAGGACTAAAAAATTAGCATCCTAGGCTATGGTTTTTATAATTCGAGAGTTATATAGGAAATGGAAGTTACTTTTATTTTATTTTTGAACGGAATCTTTAATGAATAGTTCAACTTTAAAAGACTTAATCAAATAAGTCATAGTAAAATGTATACCTAGATTTAGGTTTGAATCCAGTGACACTATTTTTTGACCAAGGTAGTAATAATTATTCAGCCTTAAAACGATTATTAAGATTTATTAAAGACAACCTTGCCCTTTGAGAACGTTAATAATCAAAAAAATTACAAATAATGACAAATAATAATTATTCTTATAATACTGATTTTCTAATTGGGACTCGATAAGCCTAAATTATTTTATAGTTTAAACCAATATTTATCAGTTTTGTTTTGGACATTCACAAAATCAACTTTTAATATTTAATAAACAATTTAAAACCTGCAAAATAATTTTGTATTGTTGAGTAATTTATGTTAGAATTTTACAATCACGAATTATAATTCACTTTATATCACTAAAATAATTAATTATTTACAATATTCAAGTATCTGAAATACTTATTTAAAAAATCAACTGAATCAAATACTTTATTTCATTATTTTCCCTTGTTAAAAGATTTAATGAGATCCACTATTATATTTTAATGTGTATCTACAATATTCATGTGTCCAACAAAATGCTTTAAATATTTATTTGGTAAAATAGTAAACTTAGTGTTTTTTATTTAATTACAACATGAATGTTAAAAAAAAAGATTTTTTTTATCTTACATTGTTATTGTAATAATAAGTACATTCAAATAAAACTTCATTCAAACTTATACTAGCAATGATTACTGACATACTTTTTTTGTGTATAATATATTTTAGAATTAATATCTTTTAATTTAATTACATTTTAGCGAGGAATCAGTCAGAAAAACACATAAGTACCTACCTATTTATTGGGTTTAGGACAAATAATTTTAAGAGTAAAACTACTAGATTGTCAGCATTGTAACTTAATAATTTGCAACACAATGTTAATACTTTATTGAAGCAAACCAATTGCTTTAAATCAAATATTTTAAGCTTTGAAAGTAAAAAATATATATATATATATATATTAATAAATGATTAATATATATATATATATATATATATATTAATAAATGATTAACAATGTATTTATATAAATTATTTTCAAAAAACCTTTACTAACATGATTTAAAAATACTTAATTCAAATAAACATTATCACATAGATTTATTATAAGAATAATAATATATAAATTATGAATAGTTGCAATCAATACATATCATGAGGTTTATAAAGGGAAATAGAGTCTAAGTAAAATAATATTATTTTTTTAATATAACTTTAAACATTGAAATTCAATACCAATTTTATAAAAATTTAATATAAAATGTATATATATTTAATAGTATTTTATTGAGATATAGGTATTGGTTAAATCTTGATTTGTATAATGATGGGACATTTAGTTGAAGGGTACCACCCATCCATATAAAAGACAATTTTCTATAACTTTATTTAGGTAATTAAAATTCAATTATTATTTTTAAAATAACAAATATTATATAATAGTGTACTGAAATGAAGAAAATGAATAGTTGAAAACACTTGTTTTAGGTTTTGCACTTTAGGGAAGAGAAATCTTAAAAACGGCGCTCAATATATATATTAAATCTGTCAGATGAAAAAATTATAAGGTATTTTTATTATTAAATAATAATATAAATAAACTATATTTGGATGTAGGAACTGATTCATCTGTACTTCACTCAATATTGTTTTTTTTAACCTATAGTTTCTTATACTAATTTCAAACAATTGAAGGAAAATTCACCAATTCAATTAACTGTTTTTGTATCTTGCCTTTTGTAATTAATTCTTATATCATAAATAATGATCGACACTTTACAATTTTTTAAATTAAAAAATGCAAAGGTATATTACATATTATTACCTATCAGTTATCTATCAGAAATTAATAGTAACATAATAACTATTTAAAAAAAAATAATGTACAAAGAAGTACAAGCTACAATAATTCTTACCTAATGAACATAAATAAAGAAATATGTAAAGTAAATTGTTCAACCTTTTAAAATGTATTTTTAATTGATATATTGTTAATCTTTAATATAGGTATAAGTTACTACATTTCAAAAGAATTTAGGAATACCTAAAATATTAAATTAAAAAAATATAAGAGTAATAATAATATAAAACAACTTAAACAAGTATATTTTGTAATAAAAATGTAATTTGGCTAATAAGCATAAATACTAATTCAATACAACCAATGCATTGAATACATTTAGTTAACACCAATGTGTGTAGATAATCATAATTTGTATTTTTTTTTATAGCTATTTCAATACATGGACTTCATAATGAAGCATGATAAGGCAATTGTACATATAGCACAGTCAGTAATTGGAATTCCATCAGTTGTTTTGTTTTCAAAAAATACTTGCCTTGAGTAGAAACCATCACCATTTTTCCTAACGTTGTAATTGAACCTTAAAAATAATATCAGTCAAGTTAAAATAGTTTAATATGCTGAAATCTCTTAAAACATAAAAATGGTTTCAATAATTTTAAATGAAAAATATTTTTATTTACAATGTGAATTATATTAGACCAATTTTTTAATCAATATTTGAATCACTGAGAATTGTTGCAATACGATCAAAAACTGGATTGAATATTTTGCGATAACCCATTTCAGATGGATGAAGATAATCTGGTGAATCTAATTGACTTAATGATCCATCTGGATTTAGTAATTCAGGATTGCTTAACTCAACTTTGGTCAAACTACCCACTTTTTGACCAACCATAATATTCACTTGATTTCCCAAATCTCTTATTGGATTTGGATAAGGACCATAGGGTAGTAAGCCCTAAATAAATAAAAAGTATTAAAATAGACAATTCATATTCAAAAAGTAACATGCAAAGTAGTCAGCATATTTATTATTTAATTTTTTTTTTTAATTTATCTGGAGTTAATAACTAAGAGGAATAACTAACTCACAACCAACCACAACCTTCAAACAAATATTACTTAATTACAACCAACAAAATAGATTTAATTAAATAGGCACTTTAAAATCTACTCTAACTAAAAATTTAATTTAATCTTAACGTATTTTTCATCTTTTACACGAAAATTTTTTTTTTATATATATTACTTAGTACCTAAAATCAAAATATTATTACCAAATAATGTTATATATATATATATATATATATATATATATATATAGCATATAAACAATGAAATAAAATTTTTTTATTACTTAACTATTTTATAATGGTTTTATAAAATACCTCCAATAAAATTAAATACTTATTAATCAAATAGTAAATATATCCTACAAATATTTTTTCCATTAAATTATTATCTTTTTTTACTCAAGTTAAATATAAGTAATATGTTCCGCATAGTAACCGTGACATAAATCGAAGAAAATATTAAATAACATTACATATAATACAAAATGCTTTTGGATTATGTGGAAATCATAATAAAATATTTAAGATATTTAAATTGAAAATTATAATTTTTTTATTATTAAATATTATTATCTTATTATTTTAAAAAAAAAATCTGTAGAGTATACAATTAAATTATTAAATACAAATTTTAAAAATATTTGAGAAATCTAGGTTTAAAAAGTCTAATTTTAAAAGTATTTTAAAATTTTAGATTTAAGATCTTTACCTAAGTTAAAATAAATACAAAGTAAATTCATATCCAACAAAACTATTAATAAAAATTTAAACTGGATTGATATTCATAGAAATCACTAACAATTGTTTTTGGGTGAAATTTATTTAGTTTTGTTAATTATCAAATTTAAGTTTTCTTACTATTATTATAATGTAGCAATTGGGAATTTTTGATCTTATTTCATTTACAATAGCCAATATACCTTCTGAAACGTCACATGGATTATTATCAAAATTATTTGTTCCAACATTAAGAATACAAATCTGTAAATAATTTTTTATGTATAAAATCACTTAATAATAAATATTTACTTAAGTAAAGATAAATAAATTTACTTTAGGTTTTATATTGTCGAGAATGCCATTTTTTACTCTCCACAAAACATTTTCAGTTCGATCACCAGCTATTCCAAAATTTAAACTATTTAGCGGCTTAAATTTATCATTCCATATAGGACAAGATTCAATGTACTGAATAATAGAAGCGCCAATTAATATGACATCTGGGTCTCGTTTACGTGCTTCAGTAACATGACGGTTGTGCTAAAAAAAATGTTAGACACTGTGTAAAGGATTGTTTAGAAACAAATAATAATACACAGCAATATAACAAGGATTCTTGTTTGCATACTTACTTGTGCTATCCATTCATCTTGTTCTTGTCCGTCATATGGTATTTTTGGAATAGCACAAATGTTCATTATTTTCTAGTAGATTTAAGATGTTATAATTGAATTTTTCTTAGGACTGATAAATATCACCGATCACTTAAACATTAAATATTTAATGTTAATCATCAGATCAGTCAGAAACAAGAAAAAAACAAATTTATATACAAACAATGGAAACATTTTTCACAGTTAACACATAAAATCGTAAGTCTCATTATTGAATAATTAAAATCATAAAATAATATAAAAAAATCAATTACTTTCTATAATCTAAGGGTTATACATTCAATTGTTTATGGTGTTGACCACAAATAACAACATATCTTATGTTTGTGGTGTTTATCGATCATAACCATTCATGTAACTAAACTTATTCTTACAGACATTTGTTTGAATATTATGATGAACATGAAAAACTAATTGTGAGAACATGTATTACGTACTTGACAATGATTACATTTTTGAGTTCCATAATTAACCGTCCGTTTTTCAGTAGTTTTCGTGGATTTAGGAAAACTGCGTGCAAGGTCGACTGACCATTATTGACCTTTAGATCGTTTAAATCATATCATATGATATGATCCAAACGGAATAAGGTAAATTAACTTTTACCGTTGCTACAGCGATAACGCGCCATTTCGTGTTATCAATATTGGCGCTATCACTTCGGTGCACTTGCCGCCAGAGTTGGGCATAACAAATCAAAATAAAAAATAAAAGCTTGAACAACTAATTTATTTATGAATAAAGAATAATTTTTTATCCTTAATAATTGTGGTATATTGAATGAAGAATAAAACTATTCTGAATAGTTTTATTCGTGAATAAAACAATTATTCAGAATAAATGTATTCGTTAAAAACATGAATTATATTAATTAAATAATGGTATTAAAAATAAAAGTATATTTAATTTATTTTTGTCAATTATTATATGTATCACCTTTATATATATTATTTAAGTCTAATAATAAGTCTATTATTATTATACATCATTATTTAGGATTTAAAATAAAATTAAGAATAAATCAATGAAGAATAATATTTTATTCAAATAATCAATCGAATAATATTTTATTCGACTAATGTCCAACTCTGTTTGGCGTAAGGTTTATAGATATTATCTATAAGCCTTGCACTTGCCATTGATCATAACCACAGAATAGATTACGATTAAAGAACATTAATTATGTGAATTATGTTCTATGCCACGGCAAAGGTGATATAAATTATATGCCTCATTATTTCCTTGTGATGATAATGAATACAGATTTTTCTTGATGTGTAAAACATTCCGATACATTGACTTATCACAAGTTATGACAGCAACAATAATTATAATTATAGTGTTCAGTTTTTATTCTTTTATGTTTTCCGATGATTTTGTTTTCTTTCAAACTCTAAAGTCCGAATTAACCTTCTTCTAGTTTTTGTTCATTATTGTATTTTTTAAAATTGTTTTTATTAAAATGTAGTTTATACTCACTGAAAGAGAACGGTTATCAATTAAATGATCGATTCGAGTGCATGATTTGAATAGAACTGTACATTTATAATGGAAATAATGTTTAATTATTTTTGTACTTCAAATGTATACAAAATAAATGTAAAAGTGGTTATTTCTGTGTAACAATAATAGTATAACATTGATCACAGTATGCAGTTAGAAATACACTTGATTCATGTTTATTCATTTTTAGCATAACATTGATTTTTATCCCCAAGTTCTATAAGACAACTGTCAACCATCGATCATAAATTATTATGCCCATTATTATATCATGCCCTCCAGGCTTTTCAATAATTTAAATTTTTTAATACATTTTTGCCCTTGTGTATTATAAAATCCTGATTATTTATTTAATTAGATACTTACCTAATAATTTTATTTTTCCTAAAAAACCATATTATGACATTAATATGAGGTGTATATCATTGTATAGAAACGTAATCGGACTCTGTGTCTTAGTACTAATTTGAGGAAACAATTATTATCAGTTAATACTTAAAATACCCCCCCTCCCCCCGGTTAGTCTCTGAAGCCTCGTCCTCGCCTGTCCTTTTCAACATTAAAAAGTATTAAAAATTGCTTGCGATCACGATTAACAGAGGATTATTTAAATAGTTTTGCTATTCTCAATATTGAAAAGAAAATTTGCAGAAAAATTGATTAAGATGATGTATATTATTATATATAATTCATGAATTTACATGCATAAAATCTCGACAAAATCATTTTTAAGGGCCTACTTGATTTTATTATTCAATTTTTGTAATATATTATTTTTTCATGGACAAAGTTATTAAGTATAAAATATTTCGGATATTTTTATTATGAGTACTTATATGTAAGGTATTTATATATTTTTTTTTCAAAAAGGATATTGTTCATATAATATGTTAACTGTATTTTTTTTTATCATTTGTTCATGTATATTTTAATAAATAATACTGTAATGGACTAATATTTCAGGGATGGGGGTGGCAAAAAATATAGGTCATGAGCCACAGTAACTTGAAACACATCTCTGTATTGACATAAAATAAAGTTCCCTTCTCCCTTCCCATAAGAACTGTTCAAGTCACGTCTAAGCTTCAATGTTCGGTGGTTCAGTGACACTGCTCTGTACACGATCAAATCGATTCAAGGTCGTACCCAAGGGGGGGTTCGGGTCTGGACCTCCCCTCCATTGAAATTTCTACATACTCAACGATTTAATAGTAAACAGTATAATAATAGTATATAGTGTATTTTAATTTCTCATTATCAGATAAAATAAAAATGTTGGGCCCCCTCCTCCTCATAAAAAATTCTTGGGTACGCTCCTGAGTCGATTACATGTAGTATTAACGGAACAAAACTCAGAGCCAAGTGCGCAACATCAACAACCGCTTGCGGGATATTACGTAACGATTACGCGCAAAGATCATGCGTCCACGCGATCTAACCGGTAGTCTGACCGTGCGTTTGGTGGCGAGAGCTCGTTATTCTCCGACGCGGTTCAAGTTGCCGTGGTTTTAGTCAAAGCGCACGTATAATAACATTGTTGCGTGCGATCGAAGTGCGACCATGAATCACCGATTATCGATCACCGTGAGTAAATAAAATATAAATATTCAAAATAATAATTAAAAATAATCACTTGTACAAAAATATTACAACGATCGTGTGACCTATAGACGGCAGGTTTCACTTTTTCAATTTTTCGTATTACCATTAACCGGACTGGATTATAGTTTTAATATAAGAAGGGGTTATTATTATTTTTGTTCAGGTCCTCATACCCTTCTACATCTACCTGGCACAAAATTGTTTTTTATTTTTAACATTTAGTTATAATCTAATCAGTAGACGGTAAACAAAATCGTAAATACTATTGCAGCAATAAATACCAAAAATAAACTTCACCATCATCACAATATCACATGCGGCCCCACACTACTTGTTGATAATCACAAGATGAGTGGTCATTATTCTGATTTATTGCACGATATTCTAAGTGACCTTTCACACTAATCGTAATTGTAAAGTCGATTATGAACAACTACGAGTATTTACAAAGCTCAGCGATTAAGAAGTCTTGCGCCATTTATTTACAGTCTGATTTATTTTCGGTTATTCATCAATTATTTCTCGATTATTCCCGAAAAGTGTGGGAACTACCCCGATTTTGTACATGTACATAATGTACATACATACATACATGTACATGCATACATGTGCAGTTCGGCTCGTTTTGACTCGGAACAAGTTACCGCCTTCTGGGGGATCAGAATGCCGTCATACTGTGCATACTGTAATAACCCATAAATACAAAAAATAAAATAGGAGAAGTAATGATGAGATGTAAGATGAGATGGGGGAAATGGTATATATGTGAATGGTGGTGAGGTATTAATGGGTTTTTACCTTCCTCCTTGTTTAAGGGAGGGCTCTCAGGGTTTAGAAGGTTCGAGAGCCGATCAGCGCAATTATGCAGTCTGCCAAGCCAAATAAAGCAGCACTTACTTGTTATACCGTAGACCTTCAGATGTCGAAGCGAGGTTGAAAAAGAAAGGACAAATGCAGAATTTAATTGCACTAGAACCGGATGCTCTTCAACACTCGTACGAAAAACACAAATCGAACGGATTAAAATTAAAATAAGTCAAAAATAAATCGCACGTATAAACTCTTCGTTGATCTTATGATCGGTGCGCATGCATTGACAACCTAAGATCAAGAGCTCAAGAGTATACATAATAAAATATTTGTGCCGTCTTTTACAATCGAATGATGCACATCATTACAATACTTATAGCGAGTGTTTAGTCCAGTGCTGCATTAAACATTTGTGGGCCCCTAGGCAATTCAAATTTTGGGTCCTACAAAATTATTTTTTACGTACATCTTTAACATTACTATCCAATAATTAAAATTAACAGATTTAAAAATAACCGACTATTATTAAAAAATAAAATCATGTTTATTAAATTCTTATATTTGCAAGAAAAATTAATTAATTATTATATTATTTCTATTTTTTTCGAAATAATTTAATCATTATTACTGCATGTAACACTTACAAATTAATATATATTATATTTCATAATGACTTTTGTTTCGTAAATTCGTAAATAGAATACAGGTATTATTAAATAGAAAAAAAATATAGTTTTCCGTTTTTACGGGGCCCCTTAAATGAGTGAGGCCTTAAGATGGGTGCCTCTTCCGCCTAATGGGTAATCCGGCACTGGTTTAGTCTCACATTATTCGCGAGTGTCAACGGTTAATTTTATTGTGAATTAATCATGTATACTTACGAGTAGTGTGAGACCTGTTCATAGGCGCAAATAGCTCGACATTTTAATAATATTTTAATAATAAAAGCCTATACGTTATTCCAAGCGGTATAAATAGCAAAAATGATCTTAATAATAAATTATTTACGCACCTAACACAAAAATAACATCGTTTACCACATTTTTATTATGTATAATCGTAATAAATATGTGTGGCGGTGGATAACATTGTATCATTGTGATGATCGCCAAAATATTCGCGTGGAAAATTGTGTGAGGGACATTTGGTTATAGGATTTATAGTAGAGGGATGATTGGTATTAAGTGGTTATACAATATTAGTTAATTGATTGTTATTCTTTAAATAATAATTGTAGTTACTAAAAACATTAACTGAGTACTTATATTGGCATCAGTGGTGTATACAGAAAATATTTTCGGGAGGGGCTGCTATGGACAGAGTTAAATTACCACTGCTATCTAAGAATTACTAAGGAAACACAGTAGGTACTTATCTACATTTCATTTACAGAATGTCCCAAAACGGTTGGACGTAAATTCTAATTAAGCATGTAACAAAACTTAAAGTCTGTAGAACTTTTTTTATTTTGCTAACTTTTTTAGTTACAGAATTATAACAATAAGAATAATATATAACAATGAAGAATAATAACAATTAATATTAATGATAATAATAATAATAATAATAATAATAATCAATACTAACAATAATTATTATTGTCTCACAATTCGGTATACAATTGCTACATATAATACTCGTTGTCGAGTTTACACATTTTTACACGACATAGACTACTAAGTATTACTCACTACTAAACAGAGATATTAGTGTTCGTACTGGGCTCTCACGTACTGTGGGCGGACACTGGTCGGCTGGTGGCTCGTTACACTCGAACGGCGACGGCTCACACTCTCTTCAACGGAACGAAACACTATGTTGTTGCTCACGGGGTAATGTGAGTACTTGGGGCAACTATGGATTAGGCAATACGTATGACACGATGATTACTTTGAATCAGTCGTGCCCATATGCATAATCGATAGCGCGTCCAGGTACAGGGGAATGTGTTGAACGCAGATTTCGTGACCATTATATGTGTGATATCTCCTTATGTCAACAATAGAAGTGTCTAATATCTGTATAGCAATCGGTGGTATATATGCGGGTTCCTAAATGGTCGGCTCATCGCGCGCTACCTGGTCTAATGAGTTTCGATGATAATATTTGATCAGCCGGTTTTGACGCCTTGAGGGCGATATTAGAATGTACGCTATACTCAGGAATATGTTGTCTCGTTACAAGCATAAAGTACCATTAAAATATAACATACGTTTAAAATAATTTATAAGTTTTTTAAAACATTCCGGGGGGAGGGGGGTTGTAGCTCACTAGACCCTCTCTATATATGACACTGATTGATTTCATAATATTTTAATGACGTGTATTGTTTATTGGCATTTTCAATTTTCGATTTTTCTTCAATTTTTCTCAAATTTTAATCGGTTACAAGTTAGATAATATAAGAGGCAAATAATAAAATTTTAATAAAAAAAATACATCTTGGTAGGTGAGTGAACACCATGATGTATTTATTTTTTATTTTTTTGGCAAAAGTTAGAACATTAAAAGTACAACCAATTTTTTAATAAATGTAGTTGTACTAGGTATTAAGTATACCAGCTATATTTAGAAATAAAAATTGATCGGGGTTCTGACTTCTTTCACTGACTTCTTTCATCATTGGGTCTATTGTTCGACGTCCTTGTCACTACCCTCGACGCGACTACGACGACGAAGCGCTTGCATGTGCGGTAACACCGTACATGGTAAGCCGTAGTACCGCTAACCATTTACGCAACGCCTGGTGCCACCGGACTTGGACACCACCACCACCACCACCCGCTCGGGTGGGATCTGCGCGCCGTGCACGTCATTCACGTGCTCAGCGAGCGATCGGACGTTGTCGGCGTAGCGGCCGCACGCGCCGCACAGCGCGGCCACGGGTCCGGGTGCTTCTTGGCCACGTGCTGGCAGAGCGCCGAGCGGTCGGATGACAAGTGGCCGCATAGTTCACACGTGTACGCACGTGGTGTGGTGCGACCGGTAAGTCGCGCTGGCCAACAGCAACGAGAACCGTCTGCCGCAACCGGTCGCCCGACACCGCAGCTTCGGGTCGTTGTCGTGCACGTGCGCACGTGCATCCAGTGCGCCTCCTTGTCGCAGCTGCACGTGAAACACTGCTTGCACACCTCAACGCCGCCGCCACTCGTCGCCTGCACCGCCACTCATCGCCGCTTTCGCCTGAGACCGATCCTGCAGGACGAGAGTGAGATCCATACGCCCCGATGTGATAAGCCACCGGCATCGGGACCAAGTCCATCTGCATGACAGAACACTGGTTAGAATAACGTTATCGTAGCGCAGTTTTGTAAGCTGTTTTCGAGATTACGCCGACTGTTGAGATAATGCTCAATAATCGCACGCGCGAGTTTACGAACGTTGAGATTTCGATGCGTATTGTACTTCAAGTCAGTTTAAGCTATGTAGCCGACCCGGAGAAAATTAAAATATGCCACCCTTAAGAAAATTACAATTCAAAATAAAAAATATTATATGTAATTGAAATAATATATACTATAGGTATACAGTTATTCAAGAAAAATTACAATTACTTATTTTTTATTTTATGTTGATCCTCAATAATTTGCTTATTCTTATATTTTCTAAATTATTCAGCATTGTAAACAATGCCTGGATTCCCTACTTTGCTCATAACATACACACATACATACATATATATATATATATAAGGTGTTTGATATCCTAAAGGTCAGTCATCTAAAATAGTAAATGGTTAATGGTAATACGACGCCCTGGAAATGATTCATAGATGGATCTGTATACGGGCTTGAGAGAGGCTTGAAATTCATAAAACTGTAGATAGACTACAACTCATCAAGCCTCTCTGCGTAAGATTTAGGGGAAGGGGTGACACATATCCTACCAATATCTGCTATGATAAACTTAAATCGTATTTATAAAATCTTAATTATTAAGTAATGTGAAGTATATTACTATATTATATACTTATACTTAGTTTTATATATATATATATAAATAATTAATTTCTATTGCAGTTTTTCGAACGGAAATCTTGAACGGGAAACTGAAATTGTAAGATTTTAATTTTAGGACAGGTAGATGTTTATTCAATAAAATATTGATTGGGAGTAAACTCTATTAGCATGCAATAAATATTAGATAACAATTTTTTTTTGTATCATAGCAACGAGATAAATATTTATTATTTTCTTAGTAGTCGCGATACTTAGTACGACGACGGACAACTATTGAAAACAAATTATACTACCAATATTAATCTATTTATACTAGTTAGTATTTATAGTAGTATAAAAACAATAAAAATACAATAATTATTCGTATTATGTTTTATACCTACTACTTAATTATTTAATTCTAGTGTTAAGTATAATTAATCAATCATATTTGATAGCTATAGCATTATTAAAATATTTTTATAATGATTATTATTTGTTATTATTTAATTATTATTACTAACGATTACAAATTATTATGTTAATGGGGTTGTATAATATTATAACATAATAAGCAAAAGTATGATTGGTAAATTATTTAGAATTTTAATTTACAAAAAAAAAAGTACTGGATTATAAATAAAACACATTATTGGAATAGCATTTAAAATTGTCTACAGTTAACTGTATAAGTGTTTTTAGAGGATAATCTGAGTATTTAAACTGATAATTTAGAGAATATTTCTAATCAATGATTTATTAATGTACAGCATATATTTATAAGAAACATTAGGCATAAGTTGTTTTTGCTATATTTTCGGAATATTTTTGTAAATTCTATTGAAAAGTTTCAATATTTCTATGGAACTCTTTTTCTTATGTTTCGGGAATAATATATTGTACAGTAAGATAATATAATACATTAAAATAATATAAGGAAAAGTAATAATAATATCGAGTGCACTCGATCAAAAATATTACATAACGAATAATGATAATGCACGACGAAAACATACCACAATTTTTCAATATTTATCCCTATGATTCGTCGTTACTAATATTTCAATAATATATAATAATGATAATATATAATAATTAATATTAATAAGTATGTATGAATAATCAATATTTATTCTCGATTTTATTTACATATCGCTACTGGAATTAAATATTAAATAATTTTATGGCCATTTTACGTCCTGTTCCTAATTGTTCCTGCCTCAAAATGATGCTGCACCCAAGTGTTGAATGTCTGATCGAAATATATAATATTTTACTAGATCGTTCTGGTAATTTGGTTTGAATAGAAACTTCGGGTAATGTTTGTATAATGTAATAAAATACATACACCGACGTATAAACGTAATAACCTTGAGAGTTTAATTAATGTGTTTTGTACGATTCACAATGCATGGCGCATAACAAGAATAAAAATAACACGTTCTGTTACAAAATATTGAGTAAAATGTTCAAAGATTCTTAGTTTTTATTTTAAAATACGTTTATCAGGTGATCTAATAATTATTAAACAACTGTAAAAAGAGAAATATTATTGTTTTTTAGTTTATTTTTTATACTATTAACGTATATAAATGCGTAATGCATGTATTCTATATTGTTCTTTGATATGTTAATATTTGAGATTAATTATATATTTATGTAATATTTTGATTGTAAACATAGCTTAAAAAGTTAGAAAACCTATTAAACTTTTTTTACTTTTTAGAGGTTTTAAAAATAAATGGTTTTATTCCGTGCCAAAATATATCGTTCAAAGATAAATTTATTAAATATTGATTGGCAAGCCTAGGATACGCTGCTGTTACTACTCAGAGGAGGAGGGTGCTATATTTTTTAATGTTATCAAGTCTATGAAATTTGACATAAATTACTTTTATAATCGAATAGTAATTACTGTCTAATTGACTATGAATATTTGTTCCAAGTGACTAATCATTGGAATGGATGTACATAATAATTAAGTTTAAAAACTACACATTATTTGATAAACCAGTAAAAGAAATATCCCATATAATAATGTGATTAATTTTGTAATTTATTTTTACTATGCTCATGAAGGTAATACAATTTAAAAAAATATATACCGTCATGAGCCTTGAGAAAAGAGGCTTAATATCCATGTTGTTTTAAAAAATTACGAAAATATTACTCAGTTACACAATCCCGCCGTAATTGCATGGTAAATAATTATGTAGTATAAACTGTTGAGCGACTTGTAAACACTCTACACTACGACATGCCCGTGGGCGTATTAGCATTTGAAGGCAATTGAAAAATTTTTTTTTTTTGTTTCTTTTTAGTTTTTGCTGCTGTTCAGCTGTTATTGTTCCGGATTGCCAAATGTACGCCCATCGAACATTTTGGTTTTTTTGCCCACGCCGGTCAAAAGCCATTTCGGCAGTTTTAAACCGCTTTTAGAAGCACTGGTAACTAGAGGGCACAACTTGACTCTGGTATCACCTTTTGCGCTGAGTCCTACAGCGGATGATGGATCGCCGTTGTTGTACACGCACGTTCGAGTAAACCATAATAAAAAGGTTTCAGGTATTTTTCGCTTGGAATTAAACTCACGAAATGCGAATACGTGGATAAGCTATAAAAATTATTTTATCATGTGAAATCAGTAATCAAAAAATGCTCTAAAATTAAAATTTTAAAAAAAAATTACGAAAAAAAATATTAGAAAAGTTTTTACCGTCTATCAGTTTAATATTCGTTAAAACTATTTAGTTTCTCATTATTTCATAAATGATTTATCTTTGTTAAATCATTTATCATGTTTAATAATACTTTTACAAATATATTCCATTACGAAATCGATAAAATTAAAACGATATGAATTGAGATACTAAACTGAAAAAATTTTTTATTAAACATGCTAAACATTGAAAACCGTTTCTAAATCGTGCAAACAAAAATAAAAAAATATTTTTCACATAGAACCCTTAAATCACTGATCAATAATACGATATGAGTATCGGAAATAAAACGTATGATGGCGTGAGTGCCAAACAAAGGTAAGAAAATTAATGAAAATAATTAACTCGAGTTAAGTAAAGTTAAGAGAACATAAGATGGATAAGTTAAAAGTTAATAAAAAAAAAAAAAATTTAATTTATTCAGTTTAAAAAAGATAATCTACTTTTTTTAATTAAGATGTAAGTCACATAAAAAGTGACTGCATTCTTTAGAAAAATCTAATTTCCTAAATTATAATAAATCATTTTATTGAATTTTTTTATCATAATATACATCAGTGGCGCCGAAGTGTTTGAAAAATACTATGACATTGCTATCAAGGAACCATTCACTACCGTATTTATTTATCTTTATAGTTAAAATTCTTTATACATAACATTATGTACCCACAGCCAGAATCCAATACCCAAAGGTGAACCCTCAACTTACAAAATCTAATATGACATCTGATGTACAGTGTATCCGGCAATTTTACTTTACGTGATTATTTGTACGTTATTATTTACGTATAAACGAAAAATTTCAAATTTTTTTAACTTGATAGATAATTTTAAACCAACTGTGAAAGATAATTTATTTTAACCACTAGTTAAACTAGTTAAGTTATTATAAAAAGTTAAAAAAAAAAAGTTAACTTTTTAACTAGTTAATGCCCACCTTTGGTGCCGACCAACACGCGCTGTTTTATCGTCGGACGTTTTTAAACCGCGCTTAATAGTACCTTAAACTCGTCGTCAGGGAACATCCGAACCACCGAAATCGCCGAGAACACCTCGGATTTGATTGTATTATATCCGATTATTGTTCCGTTATAGGCCCGAACTTCCTGGACAGGAACAGCTTCACCAACTGGTTGCCGATGTACATGTTGACGCTGTGGCTGGGCCCGCACATAACGAGGGGTGCGTTGGAAAATGAAGTTGTGAAGGATTTCGTGTTGAATGACGCCGGTCAGTACGACCTGGTCGTGGTGGAGAACTTTTTCCACGAGGGCTTCGTGTCGCTGGGCTACAAGTACGGGGTGCCGGTGGTGCAATTGCTGTCGTTCGCGGCCAACGCGCGGGTGTCGCAGTGGCACGGCAATCCTTACGACCCATCGTACATCGCCGACTTCTGCGTCGGGTATACGGCGCCCATGACGTTTCTACAGCGGGTTGACAACGCCCTGGCCGCTGTTTTCAACACCTGGATCAATCGGTTGGTGTACGTGCCGCAGCAGCAGGCCCTGGTGCGCGAGTACTTCCGCTTCGCCGGGCACGAGCGCATGCCCGATCTGGAGACGATGCTCCGGAACGTGTCGCTGACGTTGATCAACAGCCATCCGATGATCGGCCCCGCCGTTCCGTTAGTGCCGAGCTTCGTGCAAGTGGCTGGCATGCACCTGAAACCGGCCCAAACGTTGCCACAGGTAAGCCCGGATGACCAATAAACGATGGGGCCTGGAGGTGAAATAGCGAAAGTTCCACCCTCAGTCATCGGATAAAACATGTAAAAAAAAAAAATGATAAACGGACGACACCAACTCCCGTGGTTCGTAACTCCGGACGAGGAGAGGGTCTGTCCGCTCACAGTCGATCAGACCACCACGCATGCCCACCTGCAGGGGGGCCAAAGGGTCCGTTGCCCTTACTGTGAATTTTTTTTTCAAAACTATTGTTGATTTAATACCACGCATGCTGATTATAACAATTTTATAGAGATCCATTTATGAAGTTTAGTAAAATTTATTATATTTTTAGATAATCTAAAATGTATAATCTCGAACGTATGCATTGGTTTACAATGTTTACATATGACTGCGTATCGCTTGAAACTATAAATTCTCCCTAGTACCGATTCCTATGGTATTTGATTTTGTTCTCATCTATTTTTAGGTACACGTTGTTTTGGCTCTTAAAATTTTAATCTTGCCTCGAGTGGGATTTTATCCTGCAGGCGCACTTGCCACCACGTTATCGTTTCGTTGTTAATACTTTAGGCCAATGCAGTAAACAATATGTGTTGAGTAATATTTTTAATTATCGACAATTTTATCGTAGTAACTAATTTGTAGTGCTATCAGGGTATAGGCGAACTAGGTACCTGCCTAGAGCGACACTTTAGTAGGGTCAGCATTTTCCAAATTGATTCGTACATTTTGTTTAGTTATATCGGTGTTTTGTAAGAAACATATTTAAATTAATTCATTCGTGAAAATCACTTACCTATATAATAAAATAATATTGTCTAAAGTTATTATATTAGTTTATATTACGGTATACGTTGGACATTTTAAATTATTCCAAAAATATAAATAACCACACAATCATTTCCACGATTTCCAATACTCACGATAGTGATGGGTTTTGAGTAATAATTATAGAAATCTTTTTTAAGTTTTTTTGCATATAATTGTATACGTAAAATAAAAAATTAAAATTTTTTTTGTATAGATATTTCACAAAAAAAAAAAAAAAAAAATAGGGAGAGGGGCTAAGTTAAAATAAGAGCACAATTTTTTTTTTAGAAGCGGCAAAATTTGATTTTGCCTAGTGCACTATTTTTGTTTGGGTCGGCCCTGAGTGCTATTACATTTGAATCTATTTCTTTGGTTTTATTATGAAGTACATTTACACATTCATAATAAACATAGTCTTTGATTAAAAACGGACAGCCTATGAATTTAATTGGCAATTCTTCACGTTTGAGTGAAAACCTGTACTTATAATATTTTCCTGTCTACATATTTTATTGGTAATATTTCATATTTTTAAACGATTTCAACCATTATTTACAAATGTATAGATATTTATTTTATTAATTATCTTCATATTTCATTGATTTGGCTGCAACAAAATCAAAACCTAATTCCGATAAATGTATTAATATTGATTTAAAATATTTTGTTTACCCTCAAATGGAAGTTTTATTAACTATGGATGATATTTCTAAAACTTAGAAAGAAGAAAAATAAAATACTTAGTGTTTTCCGCATCGATAAAAATAATTAAAAAATATTATGAACAGTTTAATAAATCTTAGCTTATGTTGGAGACTAAAAGAAATATATATATATATATATTAATAATTTAATATTATTTGATCCTCACTAGTTCATAAACTACAAAGTTGATCAAACATTGAAAACATTTCATACAGGCAGAGCTTGATTTACCAAATACGAGTATATGGCCCAGGACAAAATCAAAAATTGGGCCTATAAATTATAATGTAAATAAAGAATAAATATACACAAATACAATATGAATATCAAAATTATATTTAATTCTTTAAAGCACTTGTCAATAAATAAAATTAAAAATTATAAAATACAATTATTTGTAATATACCTATTATTGAACATTTTTTTTTGTCATTTTGTTTGGAAAATACATCTAAAATTTCATCAAAATCAATACTTGCCATGACATCGCTTTCTATTGAAAGGATTCCTAAGGCATCCAATTTTTCTTGACTCATTGATGACCTTAATTTATTTTTTATTCTTTTCAGAAATGAAAATGATCTTTTACTTGAACAATTAGTTATTGGAATTGTTAAAAATATATGCAAACATGTTTCTACATTTGAAAACGTATGTGCTATTTGCATATTTCTTATAAATTTTAATTGATCGGTTAGCGTTATTGTTGTGTTATTGTTAGTAGATGAAATAAGACTTTGAAATTGAATAAATTTATCTACGAAGCTTTCGGCATTAATATCAAGTTCATTTTCATACAACAATATTAATGCTTTAATTTTAGTCATCATTTTATTTCTGGTTAAGTTTTCTTTAAATAAAAATCCAAATTTTTTTTCCACATTAACATAAACTTCTCTTTTTTTTTTGTATTTCTGCCAATAATATATTGCAAATTAAATAATGTATATCAGTAATGAAATTTTGTCTTAAACTTTGTTGTCTCTCTTCGACATTTTTTTTTATTCTTTTGCATTTGTAATCAATTTGTTTTTCTACTATTAAATAAGATTCATTTTCGTATTTTTCAAAATTTTCTCGGACATTTTGTATAAAATCAAATAGAGAATTGTATAATGGTACTATTATCGATATATTTGTTGTTGAACTTTGTATAGTTTTGGAAGTTAAATTTATTCGCTGTAATATACAATTCCAAGTAACAATCATAATCGTCATTTCTCTTGTTTTTATTTGATTTAAAATATGCTTTGCTTCATTACGAGTATTTGTATTTTCATTCATATCATTAGAAATTTCTAAAAGAATTTTGGTAATTTCAGAATAGCCAAGGGTCAAGGCCTTAGTAGCATTAGCATTCGCTGACCAACGTGCCTGTGATGATGATTTCAAATAAAGTATTCCCTTTGATTTAATCTATCCCAACGATGAGTTGATACAGAAAAAAAATTATATAATGTTTGAATAATACTGAAGTATTTAACTGCATTATTACAACTTTCAACAGCTCGAATACCTACTAAATTTAATAAATGTGCTGCGCACGGTAAATATTCAGCAGCTGGAGCTATCTTTTTTATTCGCGATTGTAATCCCATATATTTTTCAGCCATATTACTATAGCATTATCGTATGACTGACCAACATAATTCTCAATATTTAAACATAATTATTTTATTGTTTCAATAACAGTTGATGTTAAGTATTCAGCAGTATGACTATAAATATCTAGAAATTTTATAAAACGTTCAATGGTTTGGCTATCAGATTTTACATAACGTAAAAGCTTTATATACTTTATATACTTTATATACTTTATATACTTTAATAGCTTATTGGTCTATATGAGTCACATTTGTCGTTGAGTTTACAATAATGCCAAAATATTTAGCATTTTTTATTTCTTCTACAATTTCATTTAAAACTTTATCTGCTATTAATGATATTAGCTCACAAATTGTGTGAGATGAAATATAATTAGATTTTCCACTACCTTTATTTCCATAATTATTCAAATGTTCCTTGAGGAATGGGTCAAATTTTGTTAATAATTCCATAATACCTAAAAGGTTACCACTATGGGAATTACTTAATATTTCATTATCCCCAAAAAAAACTAAACCTCTCTGGCTTATAAACTGAATTACAGCCATAGTACGTTTTAAAATATTTCTCTAATATTGAACACCTTTTTTTTGTATTCTTTTACTAGTTGGCAATCAATTTGTTTTAATTCTACAGAACGATTGGAATAATCACATATTGCATTTCTACGAATAGTTGAATTCTCATGTTCAATAAGCCGTTCAGTAATATGATGCCAATCATTATAGCCTTCCTTGCAAAGTAAATGTTTTGAAGTTTTAGCATGTAATTTACAAGTATAACAGAATACGCTGACATTCGAGGGAAAATATATTAACCAAGTTCTTGGAACTGTAATACCATTCTTTTTTGTTATATAAAAATTATGTTTTTTTAATTTATGAGAAACGCCTTTTATCGATTTCTTGGACTCGTCTATAGCTTGAATATTTTGATTTGGAGGATGAAGTGTGAAGTATTTCCGAAAATTGTCCATAATGGATAAGGGCCATAAAGCAATATCGTCAATGAAATTTTCAAAATTGATTTGTTTTATATCGTTATTAATAGTATTTAAATTATTATCGATTGGATTTTGATTATGTGTTTCAAGTTCATTTTCAAATAAACTTACCATAGATTGAGTCGTAAATTCTTCATTAGTCGTTAGTTCGTTTGATTTAACCTGGTTTATAAGATTTTCTGAAGTTAAATTTCGTGAATTGACTGATAAAAAAATATTTATTCATATTACATATTTATACTTGAGTAATGAGTATTATTTAAAAATATATATAAGAGTTGTTATATTATTTCGTTTTTTTTCTCGGACAATAATGTATTTTATTATAAATTAATTTGAACTACTTACTTTCTGAATTATCAGTAATAAGCGATGTAGATGTTTCTGTATTCATTTTAACAACATATTTATATAAATTTCCACGTAACTTTTTAATTTATTTTTCTTTTATTTCTTTTAATTTTCTTTTGGCGGAGCCACTTAGATATTTTTTTGGTAATATTTATATAAAATGAAATAATATTATATATTGTTCGTTGGAATCGTAAATTGTAATTGTACATTTGTATTATTTTTATCGATATTCGACAAGTGAAAAGTGACAAATAATTTTGTCGACTACCACCAATTACGAGTAATGTACTCGTAATCGTAATATGTACAATTTTATCGGTGTTATCGAGCATGCGAGCTGTGTATTTATTATTATTTTTACACAAAACAAAATATGTTATTACTTAATTTATACTTTATTTAAGTTTAAATAATACCATATGAATATTTCTAAGTTTATAGCCTATAACTAAAAGTACATAATCAATAATAATATAACTTAATCATATATAATATTATTGTGAAATGAACAAATATTATTTTTATTACTCTCCCCCTATCATCTTTTTTATTACTTAATTCATTCTATCTACTGGTTTCTTAATTCTTGCACTATTGTATATTAAACTATCATTGTATTTTTGTTTTATGTATATATTTTATTATGTCACTTGCCTTGTTATTATGTCTTAGAAAAAAACAATATAAAAAAAATTAAAATTTTTTTTTTATTTCAACAAAATAATATATTACATAGTTAGTCACCGGTGGGCCCAGGACAAATGTCTATTTTGTCAGTGCGTAAATATGTCCCTGCATACAGGTGGTTTTAAAAAAAAATACGGGTTACATGGTATTATTGTCAAAATAATTGAAGGTAATTTTCAAACTAAGTATATATTAGATTTAACGGTTCTCGTTAATGTTTAAAACTTCAAAATTCGAACCAATCACTTTACATGGAAACATGGAGAGTCTCTAATTTTAATTTATAGATAACGTTTTGTAATAATAAATTTGTATGTATTATTTATATATTTTGACCAATATTTCAGATGATTACAACAAAACGATACGTGGTGTTCTAATCGATTGCGAATAGATAGACCCGTCGGATGGCACACTATACCACCACGTGTCGTGCCGAAATAATTGTCTCCGATTGGCCGTCGTACCAAGGGGGTTGGTAGGGAACTTAAATTTAGGTGTACCCCACATGAGCTTTATCGACGCTAACTGTATGGCGGTACTGCGAAATTGATTTCGGCTAACTTTCGAACTGATTTACCGAGACAGGTTATTTACGACAGAATTATATAATTGGTGACCAACATTTGATTGGTAATAAATGGAGAAACACGTTCGTATTGTACATCAGACGTACATTATTATTATTATTGAACATATTGTACACTCGGATTATGGTCGATATTGGATACTAACAAGACCCGGTGTTAACGAGTAGAAATAATGTCAAATTTAAATTACTTTTAATTAAGTTGGATAACGAGTCATTTTTTTTAATAAATTACTTTCAACTTAACCCTTTCAGACCAGGAATTAATTTTTTTGAGTTGCAATTTTTTCGTTTATCAATATTTAGTATTGAGTAAGTAAATAAAAATAAAAAAAACTTTTTTCTTTTTTCTAAGTTTACTTAGAAATAAATGGTATGTCCCTTATGAGGGACATCAGGTGCATAAGCATTCACACATGTAACTGATAATGATAAAATACATAATATTATTATTATAATTTAAAAATTATTAATTAGGTACCTATATAAATCCATGATTAATGTGTATTCTCTTACCACTACTCTATGTATTGTTCTCTGCTTATGAATAAATGTTTTAATTTTTACAATGTACTTTGTACATGCTCATTTGTTAAATGGATAGGTACTCAATTATTTTTACATACACTTTAGAACTTTTCAGTAATAATTGGAAAACATTAATGAAATATTGATTTTAATTACTATTCAATAAATAACATCAGTTTTATTACTTTAATTTTTAAATTCTTATTAAGTTGTTTTATATTTCTTTATATAAAACTCATAAAATTAAAATAACATTTTGTGTAAGAAAATAACAAAAATTATCTGTAAGTAATATCAAATATTATTTATAATAGTATATTTTTTTGTAGGTATTTTAAATAATATGTTCCAAATAATAATTATAGACTGCTGAACTAATTTGCAAGATTCTTAGATTTCAATTAGTATCAAAATAATTTGTATAAAAAATACAAGTACCTAATACTACTTACAAAATACGAATTTCTGTATGTATCTGAAATGACATATGAATAAGTATATACTATATGGTATTAAATTATTTTAAGATATAAATAATAATTTATAGTAATGTAGAAGTATTAAAGATTAAACAAAAAAAGAGTAATAATTATAGAGAAAAGAGAAACATAATATATAATACTCGTATACCTCGTATCCAATACACGTTCGTAAATTCATTACTAATTTTTACAAGTAATTAAAATGTTTTGTTATACATATTATATTCATTCGTAGAAATAAGATTTACAGCGATGACCATTACGGCCATCACCATCACGGTGGTAAAAATAATGCAAGCAATTCGTATGTCACCAAAAGTTATATTTCATACAATTGTTTTCGTATTACTCCCTGTGTGTTGAAAATATTACGAGTAACGAATATTTTTAATATTATGAATTTTTAACTTAACTTGTAATGTTATATAATAACTCAAGTTAACGAGTTAAAAAAAATAGTTAACTTGCCTAGCCTAAGATATTAAATGTATGTTTTCGTACATTTTAATACATTTTGAAAAAACACTCGTCCGATTTTCTTATGTGCACCCGGCTTCAGTTGTACTTGGACAATAACTATATTTCTGAATACCGTTTATGGTTATTGCGATAATCCATCACTGGTACGTGGTTAAGGTATTACTATTATTTTCATACAAATGTTTTTCACTGTCACGTATTCGGTTTGTATACGAATTTTTGCCCTGTTATATCATGATTATCGGGTGGTCATCGTTTCTGTAAAAAATGTGATTTTCGGTTCTGCCAAAACGAAAAATGTTTGATTTTCGTTTCCACTAAATCTATTTTCATTTATATTACTGTGATGGAGTCTGAGAACCCCTGTATATCTGCATAGCTATCGATCATTGATGTATGTCGAGATTCGGAATAAATCATTTGACTTTGAATATATATGTAGTTGTTTTCACGCGTAATAATTTCTACCGATTATAAATAAATATAAATCTATATAAATATTAAATTTTAATTCCGAATGTTCAAAACAATGTATACATTCAAAGTAACAGTTGCAACTTAGGTATGCAAAATCCCGTAAGATTTAATAAAAACCCATTAAGCTCAATTCAAAATTTAAGATTGTTGAAGCTAATCAGCCAATCACTTATATCATCATTAGTCTTATACGAAAAAATATAACTTACTTGAACATTTTTTATTCTTTAGGACCTTAAAACCATTTTGGATACTTCCGAACATGGAGTGGTCTATTTCAGTTTGGGTTCAGTGATCCAGTCTTCGAAAATGCCGAAAGAAACGGTTTCACTTTTACTATCGGAACTTGCTAAGATTCAACAGATAGTATTGTGGAAATGGGAGGACGATCAGTTGCCTAACTTGCCAAAAAACGTCGTAGTTAGAAAATGGTTTCCGCAAAACGATATATTAGGTATACTAAACATTCTGTTATGTTAACGGGGAGTTACTATTTTAGCCTATTTCTGTTAACGCTTAACATTCTAGTTTCAATTTTTTTCCATTTCAGGATAAATCAGGGTATTCGTGGGACTTTTAAAATAATATATTATTATTTTGGTAAAATTAATTACAAGTATAGTAACAATCTTAACTGTACATATCTTACAATTTAAAAAAAAACTCATTATTTATTACTACGAGGATTTTTTTTAAACATATTTTAGTAAGGAGATATTTTATTAATCTAGGCGATAAAGAAGCCGTCAAATATCATAGGATATATGATATGTATCTATTGAAGTACTTAAAATGAACATATAATTTTTCAGCTCATCCCAATTGTCGATTGTTCATCACACACGGCGGTATTCACAGTGTGATCGAAGCCATCTACCATGGAGTACCTATGCTGTCCATACCTGTGTTCGGCGATCAGAAACACAACTCTGTGGAAGCCGAAAGCAGAGGATTCGCTTTGTATGTGTCTTACTTTGATTTGACGGCCGAACTGTTCGGTACGAAACTTCAAAAACTGTTGCACGACCCGCGGTGAGCTCGAGTTTTTTTTAAAATTATCCTAATAAGGACTTACATTCAAAATAGTTTTAAATATTTCAAGATCAAAATCGAAATTCGCCATTATTAATACCGTTATATTACATCAGTGTTTCTTAATCTGGGATGACGTGAACATATTTTTAAACCATAATTATCGATAAGAAAAATAAATAATGGTCGTTACGTAGTTTGCATGGTTTCTTTGTAAATTATACAAAAAAAAAAAAAATTAAAAAATGTATTAAATTTTTCAATTTATAATAAGGGTGTTAATTAAAAAAAATTAAGGAACTACTATTTCATATGTCAAGAAAAAAGAGGTAATTGGCTATCTCAGTGTTTCCTTCACATTCGACATGTAACAGAACCTTATTCGCGGTGAATTCATAGTGATGTAGAGATGTGCTATGGGCTTGGTCCAGGACACTTACACTTATAAGACGCATTGATATTTAGGTATAGATCAGCCTCGTTGGTGATGGACTTTCGTAACATACAGGCAATGTTTAATGAACTGGTATTACGCGTCATCCCGTTCTTAAAAAAAAAAAAATCACCGGTTCACTCGAATCGCACGTGTTCTACAAGTGCCGCCACGGTGTTTTCCGGACAGGTTTGAAAATAATTTCAAATGATAAATTATTGTTACAGGTTCGGCGAAGCAGTCTCGAAAGCGTCGTCTATATTGCGAGACGATCCTATACCGGTCTTAGAAAAAGCCGTATTTTGGGTCGAGTACGTCATTCGGCACAAAGGAGCGCCTCACCTCCGCACGGCCGCCAACGATCTCTATTGGTTTCAGTACTATCTCTTGGACGTGATCGCCGCCATATCGTTGTTGCTGGCTTTCGTCTTGTACTTGAATTACAAATTTTTCTCGTACTTGTTGAGGAAAACGTGTACCGCAAAGTCCAGTCCAGCTAAAGTTACCAAACGGAAACACAAAAAACAGTAGATGGCTAATTTTAATTTTTCGATGTATACCGGTTATTTTTATCAGTTTTGCGCTTTTTTGTCCTTAAATGTAATTACATATTTATGTACCGATGATGCGCGTGTTATTCATGTTGAAATTTTAAAAAGTAATTTCCGCATAGCTCGGGTTTTGTATGAGGATAATATTTGTGGATGGCGATGGGATAGGAAAAAAATATTTGACAGATCGGTTAGTTAAAGTCACTGAGATGGATAATTTAAAACAAGTACAGTAGGCTCCGGAAGGTCTAAATCAGTGGCGGATTTAAAGGTTCAAATGAAGTCGGCAAATCAAAAAGAGGGGTCTCGTAATAAATGTATCACTAAAATTCTTAGCCCCGTTTTACAAAGCTTCTCTCTGCATTCGCGTTTTCGCGATACAAAAATCGAAAATAGTACATTAAAAATAATGTGATGCAGCGAAACCGATAATAAATCATTTTTCATATACTCGTATAGTGTTCATACTCGGAAATTATATAAAATTCTATAAGCAACAGTATTTCTAATTATATTTATACTCGATCTTTTCTACTTTGTAAATAAAATGTTCTATTTTTAAAATATTCGGAGTGTTCTTGAGTATTTCCTGTATATTTAAATTATTTTGTTATAAATAAAAACGATGATTGTAAACGATATAACAGTTTGTACTATATTTTTTTTTCGTAGTAAAACTTAAAAAAAAATTAACTATAATTTTTCTGGGTCTCGGTAAACAATTTAGGAAGGACTCCCGTCGGCATTCGCCGACCAAACGACAGTTAAATCCGACACTGGTCTAAATCGTTCTACAAATCTCGTGGCCGAATAGAAGAAATATACACTGACGTACGACTGTGACTTTACAGTCTTTTTACTCATAGAATTTGGTGATATTGCGTTTTTAGCGAAGGATTGTTTTTTCTAAGCTATTGCCCGGCATGTCATGTTTTGTTCTAGATATACTTTAATGATCGGGAAATCGTAAAAAATCGAGACTCACCCCGACAAGATAAAGATGTGTAACGATATGAAAGATATGAACATTAAATTGATTAAAATACTTCTTCAATAAATCATACACAGAAGTCGAGGTTGTGGTACAACATGTAATTTACTGTCAAAAATTCGACCTACCGGATCGTCACACTTGGTATAATTATATGTAACCAAGTCATCAATTACTATTTAATAGCAATTAAATTTCTAACATTTCATTGCGAACAATCGAGATAGGACAACATTGCTACCAATCATTCGAGCAAAACTAGAAAGTGGTTCAATTACTCACCGTGACGAATGGAGGGCCTATTATCTCTACTACTCTTGCACACAAATAAAATAAAAAAGATTTGTGGCGTATTACTTAAAAAACATTGCGATGTTCGAATAAATGGTGCTTCTTCTGTACTTACCAGGTAATTTTAAAAATAACGGTGGCGTTTTTAACATCCAAATAAATATACGATGGTTGATAAATATCTTCAAGACCATGAGTCTACATTTTAGTAACAATGTAGGTCATATATTGGACCACAACCAGAATGTTGCTGTAATGAGTATTGTATTAGATTAAGGTATATTTAATCGATGTGTATAAAAACAGAAAAAAAAATGTTATAACTTACTATTGATTTTGCGTAGAAAATGTATAAAAGCATTACGTTTCTGCATTAACTCGCATAAATAAAATAATAATAGTAGGATGAATTTCTTTGAAGTTATTTTAAGGTAGGTACTTAAGTCCTTAATTATTTTTTACTTTAGATAAAATTATGATTTAAAAATCAATTCTATTCATTACCATACTCCTTAGTAAAATGCACTTGTATTCATCGCGTTTCCATGTACCTTTGTGAATTGAAACATAAAATATCTGATGCCGATCGTGAAGGTTTTTTTGATACCTACACATATATTAATTTAAAACTATGTAACTTAACTTTGTTTACGATTTATACCACTACTTAATTTGAATGTATTTTGATTCCGAGCAAAAAAACCAGCAGGTTTTACAATAATTAAATTTTCTTTTCTATATGATACAATTTTTTGACACCTATAAAGCTTCGTTACGATAATTCAATATTATAATTTATCACAATAACCATTATACTCAATTGTATACGCGTTCTTTCTTTTCAAAACTTCCAATAGCTATAAAACTATGAAACCAATTATTGTACTTCCAATTGTGATACTTAAAAGGGTCCGAACGATTTGTTGTATAAAATGGTTATTTTGTAATTTTATTGACATGAAAAATTCAAAAGTTACTTTTTCAAATAGGTTAGGAATTTGAAAATACGAATTTGATATTTTTTTCTTAAAATTACTCTGGAACAAAAGAAATTTGGGGAAAAAAATTTACTGCCATGTTTCCATCAGGAAAATTTGTACACTATACGACTTGTAAACTATATACACAGATTGTTTTAGTTTTCTTTTGGTACCTAACGGATGATACTAATAATAATAATAACAATAATGATGTCGACTATTATTAACGTAATATAATAATGTTGATAATAATTAGAATAATGCGTTTGAACGAGTTGCGTTTATACGTTTATAATACAAGTTTTGACTTTCCTCGTCTGTTTGTTTTATAATAACGAGCAATCCTTCTCCATGCAGATTATATAAACTAACGTTAACAATGTATTATTCGAGCAGTTATAATTAATGGTATTTGTTAATCAACAATATGGCCGGTATTACGCATTAATATACGCGTACGTATAACAACGTGCAATGGCAAGTACAATGATACGATGTTGCCGGCTATGTATAGTATGGTTTGCGCTAAACGTGCGCGGTACTCACACTGCAATACCTACACAGTAGGTGTGTGCCTGGAATTAAGTTAAACTCGTACGTTTTGAACACGTAGGTGGAATAATAAAATGATATAAAAAAGTTTCGCTACCATTTTTGCTTACCAACGGAGTGTAGTTGAGTAATATTGCGACTCATTTTACATGCCTGTAACGTGTTCAATACTTTTGCGAACTAAACTATCGCATAAAATATCATTTTTCCGGGCCGTACGGGTAGTTATATTGTACAATATTCGTCGGTTCCGTTCGATCGAGATCACGATCGCTATGTTGATTATAATCACCCAATTTACGTATTAAAATTATTTTCTACAGCCGTTACAGTAGTAATTGACAAAAAATTATACTCGTAACCAATTCAGGGTTTTTGGAGAGGAGCATAGTTGCAATCATTTTTGTTAGTAGATGATTTCAATAGGAAGAATGTAATAAACAAAGCGTACAGCAGTGCGTTTTTGAAAGGCGTTCAACGGAATTTAAAATTAACCGACTAGTGATGACATAATTGATTTAGAGTGACTATGAAATAGTTTGTTCTCATTATTTCATCTCGGCGGCAATGATTTATCGCAAAACAATTGTAAATCAATATTATGTTTTTGTTTGCGGAAGTATTCCGTGCGCTATTATTTTATATACCCGTCAATATTTCAGGTTTCGTAAGATTCATATTTAAAAGTAGAAAACCATACAGCGTATAGTGTAATAAGAAAAATTGACAAACAAGTAAGATTAAACGCCTCTTATGATACATGTATGAAGTCCACTTAAGAAAAATAAATATATTTTTATGTGATGGTAGTGAAAATGCTAAAGAAATTATAGCGTAAATCTAACTATAATCGGATTATACATAGTACTCTATGGCTTTAGATAAGTCACATAAAATAAACCGATAAAAAAAATGAGATAAACATGTACTTAAACAATCATTTTATTGTGCAGTATAAAAAACAATAATGGCTATAAAAAAAATTAAAAAAAGAGTAGTAGAAAATGTTATCACGTATGCGCGTAACTTTTACTGCCAACATTTGTTTTTTTTTTTAACCACAAGAATAGTAATTACTTTCGGAAAATATCGACTCTTCCGTAATGGTTAGAGTAACAAAACGTAATACAGTATTAAAAACTCAGGTTATTCTTTCGATAAGTTTACATCTGATAAGATGACAATTCTCGCTATGTTACGAGGCTGTTTATTATTCGATGATTTGGTTAATTCTGCACCGAGCTTATCAGGTCTAAAAAGGCAGATGACCTACCGGGGAGAAAATTCAAACTATTAGCTATTTTTTAACCAAAGAACGATACTAATTGAACCATCTATTTGAAAAACGATGTACTTATGTCAATAAAAGGCACTTCAAAACCAACAATAAAAAACTGTTTTGCTACCAGCGATATATGGTAAATAAACTGAAAGGTCTAACTAGGTAAGATAAACAATTTAATGGCCGGGCAGGGGGGCAATGCTTGTTTCTGGACTTACTCCGTTTCTATACAATACACGGTTTTCCGTGGTATAAATGCGTGGTTGAATTACTATAAGCTCGTACTAGACTTACATTTATTCTTAAATACATACAGTCGGCCATAATTACGCCTGTTAAATATTATTTTCAGTTTCCATTTATGATAGGACAAAAATAAGTAGTAGATTACTGCTATAAACTGATTTTATGATTATTAATATTTTTAATACTGTGTTGAATTTAATTTTAATTTATTTAAATGGTATAATAAAAATAGTAAACTTGTAGTTTTTAAAACATTATTATTTAAATACATTAAGTACAATAAAAAACCTTAAGGTAAGTCCTGAAAAATAAAAAAATATTCCGTGTATAAGACATACTAGTATAGGTACGATTGTTAACTGTCGGAGATTTGATATTCGTCTAGAACCATATCAGTCGTTTTCATGGCAACGCTCATCACCAATATACGGCGACACAATCAGCTTAATCTAGATATCGAAGGGATAAATATATGGCGAAACAATGGTGAAACAAGATTTTAAATATTTAGTAGTACAACTTGACTGGAAGCTCTTATTTACATCACACGGTAGACTTGTGGCTACCAAAGCAGACAAAGCAATACAGAGATTAAGTAGAATTATGTTAAACGTTAGCGGTGACAATCAGAACAGCAGAATACTTATATCATACGTAGTGCACTCTTTTCTCTTGAATGGCTCTCCCGCTTAGGCTGAGATGATAAGTAAAATAGGTATATCTATCAGCGAAATAAGCCAGCAACGAATAGTACTCAGGGTAGCGTTATCCTATCGTACAGTATACACGAATGCAGCCTTAGTCGTCGTGGGAATTCCACCATCCATCTTCAGACTCGAATAAGGATGGATATATTCCATGAGAAATGGAACACTAACCCGGAAAATATAAAACGAGAAATCAAAAATAAATTACTCATAGACTGGCAAGAATTATATGGCAGATGCATTTATCGAATTATTAAGAACATAGCCCATTTGGTATAAAGAAGAAACGAGTCAGGAGACCATTATAATACCCAGACGATGACTAACCACGGCTGTTTTGCCACTAGTTTCACAGATTCACCAAGTTAGACAATGCTGGTTTTGCCAGAACTCATATGGTTATGCATATCACATGTCCT